TCTTAACCTCTAAGCCACTGGAGCCCCTAATTGATTAAACAATACTTTAAATACCCTGATGCAGCTAGAAAAATGCAACAATGGAAAAATCACGGCCCTCCCAATCGTCACATATTTGCGCGTCATATGTGAAAGGACAATTAGATGTGCAGCCTCAGGAGGCTTTTGTCAATTTGCAGTGTGGTTCTGTGCTTGCACGTAACTGCACAATACCATACGTCCATTCTGTCTCTCTCAACATCCCAGGGCTGTGGTACTGTGTCCTTTCTGTCACTCCTGCAGCAATCAGTTCCCAGCGACTTTCTTGCAAAGAAGTAAAGTTTATCGAGACATTGAAGTATGCAGATTATCTTTACACATCTCGTGTCGGAACTGGCAATAAACGCGCAAAACAAGCAGATATACACAATTCAAGGGGGTCCCCCTGAGGGCCAGGAGCCAATCAAAGAATAGGTAAAAGCCCACCAAGCTAACGGGCCTATTTTCCCAAGAGAAAGCTGGTGCTAGACACCAAGGCCAAACGCTCATGTTACAAAGAAACACTAAAGGCACAGAGAAAAGAAACCTAAAATCCCAGAGGCCCGCCTTCACTCCATGGCAGCTAGAGGCCTAGCTGACACTTCCTCATCCACTGAAATCCTTTCCCATTAAAACACATAGATCTCTTTCTCCCTGGACTTAGGTGCAGATAGCTTTTTTAAAAAAAATCCCCCAGAAGTTGGAATGTTTATGAACATTAATCACCACCACAGCAACTGAGTGTCCGGCTAGGAAGGGATCGTTTCAGTCACGTGAAGCTAGAGGTCTCACAGCCAGCAGTTTTTAAAAAGTTCCGAAGCTGGTGTTAACGTCAGGGCTGTATCTTCGACTGGATTTACTGCACAGTGTGTGTGTGTGTTCTAATTAAAGATTTGTAGCTCTACAGCCATCTAGCGAAATCCCAAGTGCTCTACCCAAAGTTAGCTTGGACTTCACGCAGATTTATATAGAAGCTACCAGTGGTGGCCGACAGGTGCTTTGAAAAGCCCTACAGCCCTCTGCATTGCATTACACTCAGAGGTCACTTCGGGGGGGATCACGGGGGATCGCAGTTCCCCGGGTGAGGTGCAGGGGACGGGGCACACGATGAAGCCCCGCCCCCTGCTTCTGGCCGCCCCGCTTCCGGCCCTCATTCAGCCAGGAGGAGGCAGGAGAAGAGGGAGGGTAAGTCGCTTCCTCCCCGCCTCTCCCCACCCCTGCCTGCCTGGGGCCAGGGAGGGCCTTGGCGGGGCTTCCTCGCACTTCCGCCGGCCTTGCAGGTCCACCCCCGGGCCCCTGATGTCAGGGGGTGTGGCATATGCTAATGAGTTATGCTAATGAGTTCCCCTAGCTCTTTTTCTACGAAATGACCCAATTACACTACACTCAGAGAGCAGCAGTTTTCGCAGACACAGGACAGGATCCGTGCAGGCGCATACTGTTGGTGGGAGCACTTTCGTCCGGTCTTGCATTAGGGGATCATGTCTCCACCCACCAAGCACCCACCTTTTCAGAGCGGTTCCACAGGATCCAGCCCATGGCGGGGTGATAACAAGGCAGTTAAAGTCGGACACAGCTCTAAAGAAACCCTGGCAAGTGCTTAAAACGCTTCTCAGTCCACAAGGTGCCAGCTGCTATTTTAAGAAAGAATCACAAAGTTACCATCTGAAGCATCTCAACACACACCACAAGGGGAGCTGAGGAATGCACACCTCTGTAGAACGTGGGAGCAAAGGACTGGGCACAAATGAACTTTTTGGGGGGGTTTTGTTTTTAAGAAAGAGATTTGTTCTAGAGTCCTTATTGCTAGGGAAGACTGAAATGACACGGGCTGTTTCTGCAAATGGGCTTGAGATCCAGGGGTGGGACGAGGGTGGGGAGGGGGAATTAAGTCTCTCTCTTCTCTGGCTGAAAAAACTGTGCATCTCACTGATTCGCATAACCCCACCCGACCCCACCTCTCTCTCTCTCTCTCGCACACACACACACACACACACTGTAATGTATTCAATAGCTGCCATTGAATGCATAACGATATGTGAACTACATAATTGACTCGCCATGTAAAGCTTCGTCCTGGGCTAGGATCCAAATCCATCCAATCGCATTGCTAGCCCAGGAAGAACCAACCAATCACTGGTCAGCAAGCTCCCCGAGCAGGAACGTCCGTGATTGGTCCTTATGCATACAACCTTATTGGTTGATAATTGTATAGTAGGCGTGGCTACATTAGCCGGGAGAGTTTAAAAAGGGAACAGCTTTAATGCAAAAGCTGTTCTGGCTGTCAGATGTCGGTCTGTGTTGGAGTTGTGTTCGAGTTGTTGAATAAAGCTGTCTCTTTGCTGAATCACTCTCCGACTACTTTGTTAAGCAAGCGACTTAACACACAACCTCCGCAAAGACTTCAGTTTCTGATCAGAGAACTTGGACTCCCCCCCAAGTGCAAAACTGTACAACTGCTGAAGTTGTCAAACACTTCCTAATCTGCATGTTCAATTTTTCACGGCAAGCCCTGTACCAACGACAGTGGGGAGATGGGAGAGGCCGTGGCTCAGGGGAAGAACACCTGTTTTGCATTCACAGAAGGCTCCAGATTCCTGCAGTGCCGTCTCCTGTCCAGGGACCTCGGGGGGTGGGAAAGAAAGGCCTTCCCCAGCCCGAGATCCTGGAGAGCATCTGTCCTTGAGACGCAACAGCGTGGACACATGGTGGACCAGAGGTCAGACTCGGCACAAGATAGCTTGACTTTGCAGATGGAAAAGAGAAAGGGTCCGGTAGCACCTTAAAGACTAATACAATGGCAGGGTAGGAGCTTCCGTGAGACATTGCTCACTTCTTCAGATACAGCGAGAATGGGAGTCCATCTGTCCTTATATCTTGGAGAATGGAGTGATTTCTGATGCCGAATGACAATAGCAGGTAAATGCCAATGCAGATGGGAAACTGAGGCTTAGGCACTTGCCGAGGGGCTTTCTTAGACCGTGGCCAACTCCAGTTGTGGGGTTGCAAAGACCTCCCCTCCAGCATAATGGCACAGCAGCCCACGGTATTATGCTACATGGGGGGTAACTCTCAACCTCGGTTGGCCAGCTGTAAAGGCAGGAAAGCAAGTCTACGTTGGGGATGTGCAGAATGTGGCGCCAGCCCAGTTTTCGTGGAAATGCTTCATACTCACAGTGGAGGGGTCTACGCAACAACAGACCACAGATTTTGGGTGTGGATAGGGCAAGCTTTGTGTTATCCAGATTCTCACGATTCTCTTTACTGTTTTGGGATTTTTTCCCCAGGTCCCCAAAATTCAGGAACACTTGATCGATTGCCCCTTCAATCCCCACCACCCACCCTGAGGCAGCCAGAACAGGAAGGAAAGGAGCAACAGACAGGAAGCTGGCCTCACTGTTTGCACCCTTTCCGTCACTTTAAAATACCATTTAAAAAGGTAAAGGTTCCCTTGCTCGAAAGCCAGTCGAATCCGACTCTGGGGTTGCGGTGCTCATCTCCGTTTCCAAGCCGAAGAGCCAGCGCTGTCCGAAGACGTTTCCGTGGTCATGTGGCCGGCATGACTAAACACCAAGGCGCACAGAACGCTATTACCTTCCCACCGAAGTGGTCCCTATTTATCTACTTGCAATTTCTTGCTTTCGAACTGCTAGGTTGGCAGGAGCTGGAACGAGAGACGGGAGCTCACTCCATCATGCGGCATACTTGGGTCTCGAATTGGTGAACTACCGACCTTCCACAGCCTGCAGTTCAGTGTCTTAACCACTTGAGCCACCGCAGCTCCAAAAAATACCATTTAAAAAGCCATTATTGCCTACGGGAAGGTCAGGCCTCCAAAATCAGAGACCAGGTCTACCCCCATTTAAAAAAAACCATGACTTTAACATTTAAAGAGACCGGAGAAGCCTCTAACAGCTGATGGAATAGAGCTGACCTGGGAGGTTAGGTTTACTACCCATAGGCCATAATGGAACCATTATTTCTTGTGGACGTTACAGAGGCCAAGTCTATCACTTATAAGAAATAATGGGGTTATTATTTCCTATTGGCAGTAGCAAGACCAAGTCCACTCATACGAAACAATGGGGCCATTATTTCTTAAGTGGTTAAGTGCACGGACTCTAATCTGGGAGAACCGGGTTTGATTCCCCACTCCTCCACTTGCACCTGCTGGATGACCTTGGGCAAACCATAGTTCCGTCAGAGCTGTCCTTGAAAGGGCAGTTGTGGAAAGAGCTCTCTCAGCCCCACCTACCTCACAGGGGGTCTGTTGTGGGGAGGGGAAGGGAAAGGAGTTTGTAAGCCGCTCTGAGACTCCGAGTGAAGGGCGGGGTATAAATCAAATCTCTTCTTCTTCTTCTGGGTGGACCTGGCCTCTCTACCACCCACAGAATGGCTCAATGACTTCCTGTTGGTAGCCTTGGGAGGCCAGGTCTACCTGATCAGCTAGGCACCAGCAGCTCCGATCGCCTTCCACAGCCTGCAGTTCAGTGTCTTAACCACTTGAGCCACCGCAGCTCCTTTAAACTATCACATTGGTATTGTATTCTGTGGGTATGCTTGAGACCATTGGTCATGTGAGCAAAATAAATAAATTGATTGACAAAAGGCGGCTACCCATCTTGATCAATCTCTATGATCAGAGGGTGTCCGATGCAACCACCTTGCCGAAACTAAACCGGGCTCTGGTCTGGGGCTGGGTGGAGGACCTGGGGGAGAACCCAGCTTTGCGTGTTCCTCACCACAATCTGAAAGCTGCTCGCCAAACGAACATAATTGGCCAACAGGAAAGGGTCCCGTGTTCTCCCCCCCCCCCAAAAAATAATAAAATAAAAAAGGTTGACAGCAGTGGAGCAGAGAAAATACTTTTATTTAAAGAGTAGGAGCAACATCTCCATTAAAAAAAATAAGAAGCATTTGAGGCGCGCGTTCTTTACTTTTTTACAAAAAGAGCCAGAAAATGCGGGCTCAGCGTCTGTCTGTCGTTTCACTGCAACCGATACCGCTGCTGCGCTGTGAACAGTCCGTCCAACGATGGGGCGAAACGGCTCGGCTCCTCCTCAGCTCCTCCAGCCGCTGAACCCGGAGGCTGACCTGAAAGACGCAAGCCACGGTCAGGGTGGAAGGCAGCAGCAGCAGCAGCCGCCGCCGCCTCTTGGCCGGCAGCCCTACCAGACGCCCCCTTCCACGGCTGGAAGCTTTCCAGGAGACAGCCCGCGGCGGGCTTGAGCCGGCCCGGCATCCCTGGTGAGCCTCTGGGGCTTGTGAAAATGATGCGGGGTGGGTGCCCGGCTCGTTCTTGGAGGAAACAGAGCTTCTTAGGAAGCCAGGAGAAGCGCAGGGTCTTGTGGCCACGGCCCAGAGTTCACCAGGGACAGAGCCGGGCTGTGCAGAGCAGAGGGCAGATTTCCCAGGCCAGAAGCAAGTGGATGTGCCGGGAGTGGGGGGGTGGGGAGGGCTCCTCCTTCTTTCGGGCTGGAGGCTGCAGAAAGCCTCGAGGATTCGGCCAGGCCTCTGCCTGTGAGGCTCCCAGTCTTCACTAGTGTTGCCAGGTCTGGGTTGGAAGATACCTGGAGACTTTGGGGGGGGGTGGAGCCGGGAGAGGGCGGGGTTTGGGGAGGGGAGGGGCCTCGGCATGGCCCAATGCCACAGAGTCCACCCTCCAAAGCAGCCATTTTCTTCAGGGGCGCTGAGCTCTGTCGGCTGGAGATCCGTTGCAAAAGCGGGAGATCTCCAGGCCCCACCTGGAGGCTGGCAACCACGGTCTCCACTCGACCCCTTTATACCCGCCCCCCGCATTTGACTCCAAGCACAGGGACTGCTCTAGCTTAAAACAACTTTTAAAAAAAGAAGGTCCCGTTCCTGTCCCTTTTAAACTGGGCCACTGTTAACGTTCGGGACCTTCGCTGCGATTGCGAGGACCGGCGCTTGCTCTTCCCGAAAGTGAGACCAGATGGTTTCTCCCGTTTTGTAAGACCCACAGAGTCACGCCGTGAGCCTGCCGGCGGAGGGCTCTTTATTTTAAGCCATGTACGACCCCGCGCATATTTCAGGCGCTTCTCTGCACACGGTGCCTAATGCTTACATCCTGTGCGTTTGAAGGAAGGCCGGAGGCCGTGCAGCCCGGGAGTAGTCCAGTCCTTGCAAGAGTCCAGCCTGCTTGCAGCCATTCCCTGCACCTTCTCGGGCTCCGCCTCCTGGTGTCCGATTGGGACCCCTCCCACTTTCGACCCTCCTTTGTCCAGGCCCCCTTCCCCATGCCCCCCTTGTCCTCCTGTGCTTTACTAGCCCCCCCCCCATGTCCAACTCTGTAGGATCTGAGCAGCTCAGCCAGTGAGGGAGAAACTCTTCCGCCAGTCCCACCCATCTCTCAACACCAGGATAGCTCCTAACCTTCGGAGATGGGCAGGGCCGGCCGAAGGGGCACCATCACTCCCAAATTCCTTGGACTTCGAATACAGAAGACAGGATCCCCCTCCGTCCCCGGGGCGGGCTTCTGATGCAACTTTTGCACTTTACTGTGCATCTCCAGCTGTTAACGTAGCCCCTTCTCCACCCCACCCCCCATGACGTGCTCTGAAACTCCATTCAGAGAAGACCGACACATAAGTTGGACAGTATTTCCCATGGATCAGCCCTGAGGGAGAGGTGCAGGCAAAGAGCTGCCTCTGAGATCCTAAGCTCCTCATTAATGCTATTAAAAGGAGGAACGAGAGAGAGAGAGAGAGAGAGAGAGAGAGAGAGAACGAGAACGAGAACAAAGCCAGAATCTCATCTCGCCGAGTCAAAATTCAGCCGGGATTACTGGTTTTAATACCTTTCACCCCCAAAGAAGCTTCCTTTCACACTCAAAGAAAGACACGAGGCAGTGATAGGGACTTACGCGTTCGATGATCCAAAGCCAAAGCCTGCAGGAGGGCAACAATGCAAAATTAAGAGGATTACTGGCCAAGTTACATAGCGAGCACACATCAGAGAGGCACGAGGGTGCCTTGAAGCCACACCCCTCCGATTCAGAGGTTCTGTCCCCAAATGCGTTGCCTGTCCCCAGAATCTCCTTTGCTTGCAACTAGGCTCATATACATATATGTATATATATATACTAGGAAAAAGGCCCGTTGTGGAAATAAATACAACAGCATCTAGAAAGAGGCTCTGGGCGGGTGCCCCGGCCTTGGACACTCAGTGTCAATTTGCTGTGGCGACCTCAGCAGGGTATAATGACACTGAGTCCACCATTTTCTCCAGAGGAACTGATCTCTGCTAGCTAAAGAACAGTTGTAATTTTGAGTGATCTCCAGCCCTCGCCTGGAGATTGGCAACAATGGTTCCCCAGAAGGGAATAGTTGGTTTGGATGGTGGAGTCTATGGCTTTGTACCTGTCCGAGGTCCCACGCCTCCTGAAACCTCACTGCTCCATCCCTCACATCTCCAGGAATTTCCCACCTGGAGTTGGCAACCCAATCTCCTTCCCAGCCAATCATCAACCTACCTTTATTTCCTCCTCACTCTTCAGCTTTCCACCCCCCCACACACCTGCAGCCTCTCCCGTGCTCTGGAGCCCTGACTGCTACGTCACACTGGCTGTCATACGGGGGCCACCTCAGCAGCATATAAGGATACAGAGCCCACCATTTTCTCCAGGGGAACTAATCTCTGCCATCTGGAAAGCAGTTGTAATTCTGAGTGATCTCCAGCCCTCACCTGGAGATTGGACACATTTTACCTCAGAACAGCAAAACTGTTTAGAACGTTAGAGGCAAAAGCCAATCAAGTCGCATATGCAAACGACCTCTGTGTTCCGAGGCAAAGGCCAATGAGGCTGCATATGCAAATAACCTCTGTGCTCTGACAGGCAAAGCAGCCAGTGGATAGGGAGACCCTCTGAATGACAGATCAGAGAGCGAACTGATTTTGGAGCGTGTGGAATGTTCTAGAGAAGTGCCACTACCATTCGGCTATTATTTACAAGGGAGATATATACACTGACCTCTCTCTCTGGGCTGATCTTTCCCTTTTCTTTCTCTCCCCGCCTTTCTGGGTCCAGAGCCCTCCTTCCTTCTCTTGCCATGAGATGATCACAATGTATCCCACTTCCGATCATGCTGTGACCCAAGCGTGAGTCACTCAACGGAGACATCCCCACTCCCTTCCTGAACCAAATGTAATTTTGACCACCAGGATATCCTACCTCCTCCACTGGATCCAAAGCCGGCGAATCCACTGCCCTGAGTGCCAAACCCAGTAGATTGCTGGGACAGGGATCCAAAAGTGGGGGTGTTTTGATTGGCCAACGTGCCAAAGGATGCAGTGTTTGCTGTGCCACCAAAACTGTATTAGGAGAGAGAGACACACACACAGACGGTCAGATGGACCAAGTAAGCGAATTGTCAGATTTAAACCCCAGCACACCACTGTCTTAATATTGCCTCAGTATCCCAGAGCACTCCCAACCCCTCAATCCTGGCTCACCATCCGAAACCCTTTAGACCTCTTCCGGATCTCTTTTTCTAGCTCTTCCCTGGTGCGTCCCTTGCACTTGTTCCTGGAGAACCATAATTTGTTGACCTTGGAGCAGTCACACACACTCTGTTTAATCTACCTCACAGGGTGGTTTGCAAGGATAAAAAGAAGGAGAGGGAAATAATAGCAAAAGCCGATTTGGGTCCCCAGTGGGGAGAAAGGCCGGGTACAACAGAGTAAAACAAAAGCCCTGGGGCCCCAATCAAAGTGTTGGCTCTGGCCTTTACAGGCATCTGTAGGATGCGTCTTGATTATCGAACGGTGGCTTTCTTCTGCACACTCTGTGTCAGGTGCACAAAGATCATGGGAAGAGGCCCTGCTCAAGATGCCCCTTATCTGCTCAAGTGTGGCTTGGAGGGAGGGAGGGAGGGAGGGAGATAGATAGGGGTGTGCAAAAAAATAATAATTGGTTTTTAACTAATTTGGGTCTATTGGGACCCGAAAAAAACCAGTATCCCCAAATATTCCCAAATACCAGTATTGGTATTGTATTCAGGTCAATATTTGGGAAACCCGAATTTATTTGGCTCCGTTATACCCTATGGGGAGCATCCCCATAGGGTATAATGGAGAATTTCACTTGCCAAGTCGGGCCGCTGCGATAGTTCGACTCTGTGAGCGAACTGAAGGCATTTAGCCGCGTTGAACAAAAGCCGATAAAAGCTGGATAATATCGCCTTGTATTCGGGTGTGGCTATTTTAGTAGCCGAATAAAATCTGTATTCGGCTGAATGAATACCCAAAAAATACCGATAAGGTACTTTTCGGGTGTTTATTTTGCTTGGTACTTACCGAGTGCGCACCCCTAGAGAGATCTTGTGCCTTGTCTGTCCTAGAACTGTCACTATAGGGAGGCAAGCCCTGGGGAGTTTTCAGAGGCCTGCTAAGATTTTGCTTTTTTGAAATGGCTTGGCCCTGCTGATTAGCTGCTGCCACCATTACATTACTTCACTTGTTTGCTTGATTGAAAATGGTTTGGTTTTTAAAACAGATTTTGGGTGTGTGGGGGGGTGTTACAGTATTGAAAGCCACCGTGAGAGGCACAAGCTGATTGGGCAGAATATAGTATTAATCATTCTGGGGTGGGGGGAGGGATAAAAATGTCAAAGGTAAAGGATGGGCTGAGCTGACAACGCGCTTTCCCATTTGTGACTCACAGCCTGAAGTGGCAGAGATGTTAACGACCTTTCTAGGCCTCTAGATGCTGATGCAGATGCACTGCAAATACCACTGGCCTCACCTGGCAGAGCAGGGTTGTTGTTTTTAAAGAGCCATCCATAGAGGGCTGCCTTTTTTCACTTTTGCTTCTGATAAACAGGTTTGCTAGGACAGTTGTATTTTCTCAAGAGCCTGCAAGACCTGTTTGACCAGAGGCAATAAGAAACCTGCAAGTGTGTGTGTGTGTGTGCGCGCTACATGTCCACTGATTCTCTTTCTGTGTATTAATAGATTTTTCCATTAATAGTCTTTTTACAACTACATAAAAAACGTATGCACCAAAGGAATATTATGAACAACGTAAAGGTATTGTTCAAGACAAGACCATGGAACTGATTTAACCTGACAACGAACTAAATGACGGCAATGAAGGTTCCAGGTGAATCTCTCCAGGGAAGGAACGGCAAAGCAGGGCCTGGAAAAGGGGCTCTCTGTAACAGGCATGGGCCTCGACTCTGCAGACAGGGACATTCTGGAAGCAGACCGGAACTCCTGGACAGGTTTGTATGGGAGGAGGTGATCCTTCCAGTGCCCTGATCCCCACCATGAGAACTGAGCCTGTTTCTCCCTACACAGCCCGGCCCCTTTGCTTGGACTCCGGTTTCTTGGCCATGCTGGAGTGTGACAGAATATGAGGTGGTAGGGAATAAATTATTCACTGTATGATGGGATGCTTTTATGTAAATAGCGTCGAGCACCTAGCTATATTAGACCAATGAAACAAAAAGCGAGCCCTTCCCAGAAAAGTGAAGTCCCCGAGATCTGTTGCCTGCTTACCCAAATCCTCCGGTGTTGGCGGCTGCTGTCCCCTCGCCGAAGACTTTGCCTCCCGTCGAGCCCAGAGGGCTTGAAAAGGCTGGGGCTGAACCGAATGCTGGCACCCCTCCAAATCCAGGGGACCCCCCGAAAGTGGGAGGGCTGCCGAACACTGGAGCAGCTCCGAAGCCACCTGAGCAAAACAGAGGCAAAAAGAGGGACAAAAAGAAAAATCACAGTCAACAATAAACAGACAGGAAAAAGAGAGAGAGAGAGAGAGAGAAAAGGAGACGAGTTAGATTCTCCCCTGCAGCAAACCGAGAAAACAAAAGCGGGCGGCTTCCCGACAGTCGCTGCAGCTGCAGAGCTTGCAAAGGGTCACAGTGAGGCTGTTGCACTTTCGCTCTGAAACTTAAGGATGGGAGACACTCAGACGCGTCGTGCAAATCAAGGGAACGGTCCCCCAAATCACCTTGGGCTGGAGCCATTTCACAGAAGCACCTTCCCCACCCCGGCTGGGCTGCATCCAGCGTTTGGCTCTCCGTGACACGGGAACAGCAGCAAATTCTTAACTCACGCTGGGGGGGGGGGAATGGTGGTAGGCGGCGGGGTATGTGTCTAAACCAGGGATCCCAAACACGGTCCTCGCTTTTCTGGCCCCCATCAAGTGTTTTGGGAAGTGGGCCGGGCCAAGTGGGTCTTTGCCCAGCAAGGCTTCGGATTGGCTTTGCAGATTTTTTTAAAAAAAGGTTACTTGGGCAGCAACTGGCCACCGCAGCGCAAGAGTCTTCACTGTGTGACTGAAGGTAAGCTGCGGCAGCCGTTTTGTGGCCAGCCGTTCTGCGGCTGCGCCCACCGCTCTGTGTCAAGAATCCCAAAGGTGCCCACAGGCTCAAAAAAGCTGGGGGCCCCCCTGGTCTAAAAGGCAAAGGCTCTCCTGCAGATGCCTGATCTGGAAGGAAGGGGCAGACAGGGAAACAGAGGAGGGTGGGGGCGTGACGCCGTGTGGTGATGCTCCGGCTTTTGGGCAAAACTCTTATTGTTTGACTCCAATTTTACCCACAGAGTTTTGCCCAATAACCACAGCGTCGCCCCTGACATCACCCACGCCGTGACGCCACTTCCGGGGGACGTCAGCGTGTTGGGGGGGGGGCGTCCCCGTCCACTCCTGGAATGCCTCCCAGACCCCCCTGCTGGCAAGACGAAGGGACCCGGCAACCCTAGGACTGGTCCCTTCTTCCCCTCCCACGCCAAGGTCTTGAACGGGGTTGTGGCATGTTCGGTACCAGCAATCGTAAGCCCCCGGGGGCCAGAGCTTTCCTTATGCCAGCCAAGAGGGTTGTAGGAAAAGTGACTCTGTGCTCCACTGGGACTCAACCGGCCACTTGGAGGGCGGGGGTGGGGGCCTCGCTTTACCACCTGCCGCCCCCTCTGGCGAAACAGATTGCCAGCCAGTGATGCAACACTCGTCTTTGTTTAGAAACCCTCACAACCAATGTTCCCTCTAAGCTGTGGAGTCTTGTGAGCAAAAATTCTACTTTGTGAGCGACTGGCATTAAAGTTGTGAGCGAGCAATTTGGCTGCTGCATAAATTAGTTTGTTCTGGAGCCACCCTTCCTGAGCTGAGACAAAAATATGTGAGCTGGAGGCTAAAAAACTGTGAGCTAGCTCACACTAACTCAGCTTAGAGGGAGCACTGCTCACAACCACCCAATGAAGCAGGCCAGGCTGAGTAAACAACTGCTGAAGGCCATGCAGTAGGCTGGGCACTGAAATGGCACTTGGTCCGCTGAGGGGGCAAAGGGCAAAATCGGGGGGGGGGCATTCTGCAGAGTTAAGGCCCCCACCGTTCCTTGGCGATGGGGCGAGGTGGCAGCTGAGCCCAGTTCTTCCGTTTTTTTCTAAAGCTTAGGGAGGCAAGATGTATTACAGATTTCTCCACCGCTGCTATGGAAGCTGGCTGCTTTGTAACTAAATACACACAGCGTTTAATGGAGGGCATGCACCTTTCTAAACCCTCGACATGCACAACCGAGGCAAGGCCCATCAGCATTACGAACAGCACGTACACAGCATTTCAAATGTCCAGACTACGCGCCCGTCATCGCAGTATTTCCTAGAACAGCCCTGTAAGATAAACTGGAATTCTCATCCCGGCACTCCGGAGGGGAGGCTAAGGCTGGTGAAGTGAGACTTGACCCGGCCCGCTGCACCATCAACACCAGGTCTTGGGGTTGGGGGGAGCTTCTGCAGGTCAACCTGTGTCTGGACTGCACCAATGCTGCGTGTGTGTGTGTGGGGGGGGGGCGGGTCCACATAATTCAACATTCCTCCATAAATTAAAAAAAAAGAGAAAACCTCGCAGAAAGAAAACCATCCCCTTGGGATTCTAGATTATAATTCTCCCGGTCACACCCGCCTTCCATGCATGGGGAATTTTTTTGTTTGCATGGAGGAGCTTTCGCTGCCGGCAGCCCCAACCTGCAGCTTGAAATGGTACAGCCCAGACCCAGGTTGGCCATCTTATCTTAGTGAGAAGAAGGCCTCGGCCGGTTTACGAGAGACAATGCGATTGCATGCAAGGAGACTGGAGAGTTACCCATCACATTTGCAACCCTGCATCCAGTGCCTTCCAGATATCCATCTCTAAGCAGCTTCTGGAGGGACCTCAGCCTCCCGCCCACATCGGAGAGACAGCATCGTCTTAAGAGCTGCAAATCCCCACCCAGCCGGCACAGGCAAGAACAGGCGGAGGGGACTGATTTCAGAGCCGCCTCATGCATCCCTCCGTAGCACTTACTGCAAAAGGAGTGGCTAGATTCTGCAGGCATGTCCTTATAAAAAAATCCCCCGGACATGAATTGAGCCGGCCAGAAACGCCTGCTGGAGCCGGCATGCAAAAAAAGGCACCAGCGGCAGCAGCTGCCGCCAGCTCTCTGCAAAAAAAACAACACACCCCCCCACCACAAAAACCCTGAGCAGTTGCTAAGGTAGCATTTCTAATGTCGCCAGGAAAGCCGCAGCCGCTCCAGCGTAGCTGCCTATCGCACCCTAGAGGCGGGCGGCTTGCTGAGCTGAGCTGACCTGTCAAGCGGGCGTGGGGAGGGAGGGAGGGAGACCTCCCAAACGCAAAGACGTCAGGCTGGGCTATTGTCATTCCCTCTGTGCTTTAGGGAGTGGAGATTCGGAAGAGGAGCTTGACTCTCAAAGAGCTCACAGGGAACTGGCATTTGGACACTTATGAAGCCTGCGCAGCACTGAGCCAGATCATCAGCCGGCAACTTTGCTCAGCGGGCGTCAATTATAAGAACATAAGAGATGCCAATGTTGGATCAGGCCAAAGGCCCATCCAGTCCAACGCTCTATATCACACAGTGGCCAGAAATACCAGGTGCCACCAGGAGGTCCACCAGTGGGGCCAGGACATTAGAAGCCCTCCCACTGTTGACCCCCCCCCCCAAGCACCAAGAGGACAGAGCATCACTTGCCCCAGAGCCCCTATCTATACCTTGTGGCTAATAGCCACCGATGGACCTCTGCTCCATATGCTTATCTAATTCCCTTTTGAAGCCGTCCATGCTTGCAGCCGCCGCCACTTCCTGTGGCAGTGAGTTCCATGTGTTAATCACTCTTTGGGTGAAGAAGTACTTCCTTTTATCCGTTCTAAACCGAGCGCTCAGCAATTTCATGGAGGGCCCCTGAGTTCTTGGATTGTGAGAAAGGGAGAAAAGTACCTCTTTCTCTACCTGCTATACAGGTCGAGGAAATCAGCTTGTCTTGGGGCAGAATTGCCGGCATATTCTAGGGGTGGAAGAACAGAACCTTCGGCCCCGTATATGACCTGTCGCGCGAATGGAAGAAGCCAAAGAAACTCCTTTGGAGACCGTCTCGTGAGAATAGCCAATCCTGCTGGCCCAGTCCGCTTGGGGAAGGCTGCAGCAGAGCCACAAACCCAATCCGCTCCCCCCAAATGAGGCCCCTCCCACCACAACCTTCTGCTTTTCCGTCCTGCGCTTCTGTCTCTTGCCTGTTCAGGAACACAGATAACTCCCTTTTGCCGTTTGACTGGGGCGGGGGGGAGGGGGGGGAAGATGCATTTTAATACCCTGGGTGAAATTCCAGCCCTGGCCACTGTAACAGATACTGCCTGGTTGTAAATACAAACTCTCTGGAAAGAAATATAAAAATAAAAGTGCTCCTACTGAATTATTTAACACAGATCAGGTATCTAGTTACGCGCCTCTGTCCGAGCGCCGTACGTATTTTACCCATGGGCTCCACACGCTTTGTTCTGGGTTGGAATCTCCCATGTGTTCTAAGTCAGCAGACACGATGCGAAGGGAGTGGAGAGTGATGCGCAAGCAACAGAGCCAGAAAGGCAGAGGCCCCCTCCCCATGTGCAGTGTTTCCCTTACGCCACAGGCCCTTGTAAAGTGGGATTTAGCGCTTCTGCAGCAGGAGGTTCACTCCCAACAATGCCAGGGCAGGCACAGCGGGCACCACCGGCCAATAAGAGCAGCAGCACAGTGCGAGTCCCGCCTCCTCTTTTCCTCTCTCAGTTTTACAGTCCAGTCGGCCAAATGGAACAGGAGGCGTGCCCATTTCTAGCAGAGAGGTGGGCTGGGTAAGTCAGCTAGTTGTGGCAGTCAGGGGTGAGGGAGGGGAACCTGACCTCTCTCTCTCTCCCCAGAGATTTTTAAAAGCACAAGTGCCGTTTCTGGCTTGGAAGGTAGCTACCCTAATCAACCCACAAGAAGACAATGAAGTTAAGCCTTTACTCTGGGCTCTAAGGAGGGACTGCCATACCGTTACTCCTCTTGAGAGAACGGCATTCCTCAGAGTTTGCTTAGACCACAGGGAACACACGGCAGAAGTGCCGCCGCAAAGGAATCAGATCAACGGATAAACAGTGCTCTGAACTCCTAAGTAACAGCTATTCGGGACACTCTAAAAGCAGGGTTGTCTGCACACTGCGATGGATATGGGTGTAAAATTCAGCCCCCGGTCTTTGTTACAAAGGGCAAACGGGTTTCTTGTCCTTAAGAGTATGGACAGAGATTCAAAAAGAGCAGACGGCGTCTGGTCAGATCTCCAAATCCGGAAATGAAGTACAGGATCCCATACGTGGATGAGACAGTGCCCTGCAGAGCTTTTTGGCCCCTTCCTTATGACTGGCTGAAGTAGGATTTTTGCAGGTCACAGAATTAAATCTGATTTTTTTTTAAAAAAAAATCCCTTAAACACAGCAACACTCAATGAATGCGTGCTTTCTGACACTCTGGGGGAACAGCTCTGCCTTCAGAAGACTCTTGGCTGTGTATTATGACGAGATCTACGCATGGATCAGTACCTGCTTTGGTTGGGCTGGAGAACCCGAAGCCCTGAGACGCCACGCTCCCTCCGCCGGAACTGAACGTGCCCGCCTGCTTCTGCTCGCCAAAGGAGGCGGTGGCGGTGGAGGTGCCAAACCCAAAGGTCTTGGCTCCGCTGTTTCCAAAAAGACTCGATGTATCTGGGAGGGGGAGAAAGTCAAGAGCTTTTTCTATGGAGCGTCAGAACAAAAAGCCCTCTTTTGCCTAATAAAAACCCCTTGGGGCAAAAAAATTCATCGTGGCTAGTACCGAGTAGCGTGGGCACTTGCTCTTCACGCCAGGCCTTGTAACGGACAGCCACTCTGTGACGGTGAGTGAGAATCTCCTGCAGATGACTGGGAAGCTTTTGGAAACTGAAAGCCAGCTTTGCTCCTTCCAGGCAATTGGTGTGGATTCAGCAGAGTCACGGCACACAGGAGCAAACACCCACCGCCCCTTTTCAAGCGATCGCATCCCCCTCCCCCACCACCCTTCCTCCGGCGGGCTTGGGCGGAGCGTACACGGCTCTTGCCTTTGTTACTTTATCCACACTACATCCTGGGAGGTGTGCGAAGCGAAATGACAAAAGCCTCCCGCGCAGTGTAGTGGAGCCAGTTTGGTGTCGTGGTGAAGTGCGCGGACTCTAATCTGGGAGAACCGGGTTTGATTCCCCCACTCCTCCACTTGCACCTGACTGGATGACCTTTGGGCAAGCCATAGTTCTGGCACAGCTATTCTTGAAAAAGAGCAGTTTCTGTCACTCAGCCCCACCTGCCTCACAGGGTGTCTGTTGTGGGGAGGGGAAGGGAAAAGGAGTTTGTAAGCCGCTCTGAGACTCTGAGTGAAGGGTGGGGTATAAATCCAATCTCCTCCTCCTCCTTCTCCTTGTAGTACAGAGCAGTTGTATGGTGGTTCAGAGAGCCAGTTTGGTGTCGTGGTTAAGTGCGCGGACTCTAATCTGGGAGAACAAGGTTTGATTCCCCACTCCTCCACTTGCACCTGGCTGGATGACCTTGGGCAAGCCGTAGTTCTGACAAGAGCTGTCCTTGAAAAAGAGCAGTTTCTGTCAAGAGCTCTCTCAGCCCCACCTGCCTCACAGGGTGTCTGTTGTGGGGAGGGGAAGGGAAAGGAGTCTGTAAGCCACTCTGAGACTCCTTTGGGTAATGAAGGGCGGGGTAGAAATCCAATCGCTTCTTCTTCTTCTTCTTCTGTGAGCTTCTTCGAGGAATGGGGACTTGAACCCAGGTCTCTCTACTGGTCATAAGAACATAAGAGATGCCAATGTTGGATCAGGCCAAAGGCCCATCCAGTCCAACACTCTGTATCCCACAGTGGCCAGAAATACCGGTGCCATCAGGAGGTCCACCAGTGGGGCCAGGACATTAGAAGCCCTCCCACTGTTGATCCCCCCAAGCACCAAGATGACAGAGCATCACTTGCTCCAGAGTCCCTATCTACACCTTGTGGCTAATAGCCACTGATGGACCTCTGCTCCATATGCTTATCTAATTCCCTTTTGAAGCCGTCCATGCTTGTAGCCACCACCACTTCCTGTGGCATTGAATTCCAAGTGTTAATCACTCTTTGGGTGAAGAAGTACTTCCTTTTATCCGTTCTAACCCGACCGCTCAGCAATTTCATGGAGTGCCCACGAGTTCTTGTATTGTGAGAAAGGGAGAAAAGTACCTCTTTCTCTACCTGCTCTTTCCCATGCATAATCTTATAAACCTCAATCATGTCACCCCTCAGTCGCAATGCATGGCTAGGAATAAATACAGTGAAGCAACATGTTGAATACCGGCAAACAGATTGATGACTTACTGAACCAGTCCTCGAAAAATCGTCCCTGCTTGTGATCAGTGAACAGAGCATGAGCCAAACTGGCAGGTGTTCATATGTCCCTAGCCAGGAGTAAGCTACGATGTCCATGTTTGTACAGAATGCAGAACCGTATTTAAGACTAACTGTGGTTAACAAAACAAAGTATGAATCCAGTGGCACCTTTAAGACCAACAAAGTTTACTTCTGGGTATAGGCTTCCCTGTGCACGCACGCTTCTTCAGATAAACCAACTTCAAACATGGTTTCAGATTTTGGTTTTATATTCCCTGACAAACCAACACAACAACAGTGAGTGGCCAGGTTCAGACAGTCATCCTAATTATGGTTTTACTCCAAATCATTAATGAACAAGTTAAAAAGCAGTGGACCAAGTACTGATCCCTGCGGTACCCCACTGCTTACCCCCCTCCACTGAGAGAACTGCCCATTTATACTCACTCTCTGTTTTCTATTAATTAGCCAGTTTTTGATCCATAAAAGGACTTGTCCTTTTCTCCCATGATTTTTGAGCTTACTTAGGAGCCTTTGATGAGGAACTTTATCAAAAGCTTTCTGGAAGTCAAGGTAAACAATATCTATTGGATCCCCCTTGTCCACATGTTTGTTCACCCCCTCAAAGAACATTAACAGGTTAGTGAGACAAGATCTTCCCTTACAGAACCCATGTTGAGTCTGCCTCAATAGGTTTTGTTCATCTATGTGCCTACTAATTCTTTCCTTAATAATGGTTTCCACCAATTTACCAGGTATCGACGTCAGACTGACTGGCCTGTAATTTCCCGGATCTCCTCTGGAACCCTTTTTAAAGATGGGAGTGACATTAGCTACCTTCCAGTCCTCAGGAATGGAGGCTGATTTTAAGGAGAGATTACATATTTTTGTCAGGAGATCCACAAGTTCACAATTGAGTTCTTTCAGAACTCTCGGATGTATGCCATCTGGGCCTGGTGATTTATCAGTTTTTAAGTTGTCTATCAGTTTTAGGACCTCCTCTCTCGTCACCTCAATCTGACTCAGGTCGTTTGACACTCTTCGCTACTACACCATATGGGGTCTCTCTGGGAGGCCGCGGATGGGTTGGAGCCCAGCCACCTGGATAGAGTGAAGAAGTGTGCTTTGCACACGGAAGCTCCTACCCTGAATAAAACTTTTGTTGGTCTCAAAGATGCCCCTGGAGTCAGGCTTTGCTCTGCTAGTGACATGCGAACCTTTCCCCCCTGTCCTGTTTACCACGTAACTTGAAAGTCACCCGCTCTGTGTTTTCATGGGCAACTGGATCCTCTCTTCCAGTCCCCTGAGCTGGGAATGACAGAGGGCAGTGGCTCCACAGCGGGGGCGGGGTGGCAATGGCAAGGCTGGGTGCGGAGCCACGGACCAGACTGCCAGACTTAATGCCAGATCTGGCGTCAGCGTCAGGAAAAGCAGGTTTCCAGCTGCTCTGCTGTTAACGGGAGACACGGCTAAACAACAATTTCTGAACGGACCCTGGTGACAAGTCTGATCTCCCGTCAAGAACGCCAAAAAAACCCCAAGTCACAAATGATGGCTTGGCTAAGAAAATCGTGACAGCTGAGAAATAAATTAAGGATGCCTCATTTTCAAGTCCCCTCTCTGATAACTGGAGAGCATCCCACCAAGCCAAGCACCTCATGCCCAACAGAGGCCAATCAGATTAAAGAAGACAATTCAGGCATATTATGTAAAATGCATCCTGTGCCATCCAGATTTTAAATTCTAGTACTGCTGTGACGGAGCTGCGGTGGCTCAAGCGGTTAAGACGCTGAACTGCAGGCTGTGGAAGGTCAGTAGTTCAGCAGTTCGAGACCCGACTATGCCGCATGACGGAGTGAGCTCCCCTCTCTAGTTCCAGCTCCTGCCAACCTAGCAGTTCGAAAGCAAGAAATTGCAAGTAGATAAACGGGTACCACTTTGGTGGGAAGGTAACAGCGTTCCGTGCGCCTTGATGTTTAGTCATGCCGGCCACATGACCACGGAAACGTCTTCGGACAGCGCTGGCTCTTCGGCTTTGAAACGGAGATGAGCACCGCGACCCTAGAGTCAGACTCGACTGGCTTTCGAGCAAGGGAAACCTTTACCTTACTGCTGTGACACATATATAATGCAGTATGGTATTGTGCACACTGTGTGTGCAGTAAAAATCTACGTCTTTCCCTCAAAGAGAAGAGATCCCAGAAGAGATCGTAGATTAGGGGAAGGGCTGCTTCCGAGGGTTGGTGCCTTCACCAGCAGCCAATCCACTTGCTGCTCCTTCCCCCTGGGAAATCCAGCACTAAGCCCATCAATCTGCCAGGGCCCAGGAAACACTTCTGTAAACCTTCCCGTTTGGCGTAGTGGTGAAGTGCGCGGACTCTATTCTGAGAGAACCGGGTTTGATTCCCCACTCCTCCACTCGCAGCTGCTGGATGACCTTGGGCAAGCCATAGTTCTGTCAGAGCTGTTCTCTCAAAGACAGTTCTTTAAAGAGCTCTCTCAGCCCCGCCTACGTCACAGGGTGTCTGTTGTGGGGAGGGGAAGGGAAAGGAGTTTGTAAGCCGCTCTGAGACTCTGAGTGAAGGGTGGGGTATAAATCCAATCTCCTCCTCCTCCTCCTCCTTGTAGTACAGAGCAGTTGTATGGTGGTTCAGAGAGCCAATTTGGTGTAGTGGTTAAGTGCGCGTACTCTAATCTGGAAGAATCGGGTTTGATTCCCCCACTCCTCCACTTGCACCTGGCCGGATGACCTTCGGCAAGCCGTAGCTCTGATAAGAGCTGTCCTTGAAAAAGAGCAGTTTCTGTCAGAGCTCTCTCAGCCCCACCTACATCAAAGGCTGTCTGTTGTGGGGAGGGGAAGGGAAAGGAGTTTGTAAGCCGCTCTGAGTGAAGGGTGGGGTATAAATCTAATCTCCTCCTCTTTCCTCCGTGGTGCCCCCCCCCCCCCCCCCATTCAAGGAACCTCTGAAAAACTTTGAAGATACTTTGGGAGTTGATCCTAGCTTAATAATACATAAAAATCCCCCCGAAAATGTGCCTCTATACTCACCTATACACCTATACTCAGCTCTCTCTGTGGCAAAATGGGAGGGAAAGTCCCATAACATTTAGCATTAAACATGTGCTCTGAATCTCAGGGCTCAGCCTTAAAAGGTGTGAAGTTTAACACTAGGTGTATCGTCTAGGATTTGAACCTGCAGGCCTGTCCAAGCTTGACTCCCATCTTGCTGCCAAGAAACAGTTACCGTTTCAAGTTGTTACAGAACTCAGAGCCGAGTTCACACATTCAGCTGCTGCATTATCAGTTGAATTCTTGCAGCTGACCATGTGAACAGACTCCCGGGACAAAGCGTTCCACTGAAAGGGTGAGATGAGGCACCGTGAAATATGTACCAATGAACGGGATCATCCACATGTGCTGATCGGTGCTTGGAGCAGAGAGCCAGCATGGTGCAGTGGTTAAGAGTGACAGACTAATTCGGAGAACCGGGTTCAGGGCTATTTTTGGGCAGGAACGCACAGGAACGGAGTTCCGGCTGTCTCCCAAGTTGGCCACGCCCAGCAGGAACTCATTAGCATAATAGGCCACACCCAACAGCAGAAACTCATTAGGATTGGCTACATTAGGGGTGTGTGGCCTAACATGCAAAGAGGTTCCTGCTACAAAAAAAGCCCTGGGTTTTGACAACAAAGTAAACAGAATAAGAAGCAAAAGGTGAGTGTGGTAACATGGGTGTGTGGCCTAATATGCTAATGAGCTGTGATGTCGGGGGTGTGGCTTAATATGCTAATGAGTTTCTGCTGTTGGGTGTGGCCTATTATGCTAATGAGTACCTGCTGGGCTTTTTCTACAAAAAAAATCTCTGGCCGGGTTCAATCCCCCACTCTTCCACGTGAAGCCAGCTGGGTGACCTTGGGTCAGTCACAGCTCTCTCAGAGCTCTCTCAGTCCACAAAATAAGTCTCGCTCGCCACCTAGAGCTAGAACTTCAGGCGGCCAGATAACCTTAGCATCTCCCTGGTGACACTACACACAACGCGATACAATACTTTATTTTTTTAATCTACCGCTTGGAACTGTCGTTATCGAGGGTATGAAATGTGCGCGTGCGGACCGGCCCTTGTGACCAGATTCCCCTCAAAGCAACAACACCCCCACCCCCCCCGGAAGACTGACTTACTCTGGGTGGCTGAAGATCCAAATCCCGTGCCAGTGGAGCTGAATGGATTTTTATTTGCCGCATCCTGGCTTGGCTTTCCTCCTAGGCCGCTGAAGAAGGCGACGCCTCTCCCCCCGCTGCTGGAACCAAAGAGGCCCCCGCTGGGAGAGGGCTGCTGTAGGAGAAAAGGAGGAAAGCAACTTGGGGCGCTTCTCTTCGCCAGAGTCACTCAAGAGACAGGTGGGTTCCTGCAGTGACTAGCAGACTGGGGTCGGCAGCACCAGGGTGGGGCACGGACTCCTGTGCCGCTGGGCAGCTTCTGCAGCTCCCCGGAGTGGTGAAAAAGGCAAGGAGAAAGGCTTCGAGCCAACTGCTCGCTACCCAGAGCTCTCTTCCTCGGGCAGGAATATGGTGTGCTGGGCATGTGTTAGGAAGCTCGGAGTCACGTGCAAGATAGGAACCCCGGCAGGAAATGTGTGATTCCACAGAGTCACGTTTGCAGGATAGGGACAGCAGAGCCGGTGTTTGCTCAGGGCAGCTTTCCGCTGCTGGTCTATGAATGAGAAAGCACAGTGTGGGCTCGGGGCACTCACGGCCAGCCCTGCCTACGTCGTATGAGATGGATGTGCTGCAAAGTTTATCCTAACTCCTTGGGCCTTTCCTGGCCGCCCTCTTCTCCCACATTCTTTAACGATGGCCGCTGTGGAACTCACGGGGTTTATGGAAAGGCCAAAGAGAAATGCGAGAGGAGGTGCGGTGGGCCGTTTTGTTCAAACGGAAGAGGAGGAATCTAAACATGAGCCAGTGCGTCTCTTTACGGGCACGCAATAGGTCTAGACTGGTACGGGAGGAAGGCCTAGGTGTGTGGGGGGGGTTCACCTCTTGCTGCCAACAAACACGAACAGAGACGTTCTTGCATCCCTTAACCCTGCCGTCTTTGCTTTTTCAGTATTACGACAACATGAGGAACTAAGAGCAGCCCTGCTGAATCAGACCGGACTCCCCTAGTCCAGCATCCTCTTTCCAACGGTGGCCAGCCAATGCTCCCTCTAAGCGGTGGAGTCTAGTGAGCAAAAATTCTACTTTGTGAGCTACTGGCATTAAAGTTGTCAGCAAGTGACTTGGCTACTGCACAAATTAGTTTGCTCTGGAGCCATCCTTCCATCCTGAGCTAAGACAAAAATGTGTGATCTGGAGGCTAAAAAACTGTGAGCTGGCTCACACTAACTCAGCTTGGAGGGAACACTGGTGGCCAGCCACTGCTTTAGACCCACCAGTGAAGCAGGAACTGCCTCCCCCTCCATCCCCCCCCCCCGCAACCACACCTATTCCCCCTGAATGTGGAAATCCCATTGAGCTATCATGACACAATGGCCGCAGCTAGACCACCATGAATTGGTCCACTCCCCTTTCGAAACCACTTCAGCTGGTGGCCGCTATTAAGTCATCGTTGCAATAGATTCAGGATGCACAAAGGGGACCTCTTTTGCCTACGGCACAGCTGACTGATGGACTTAGTGCCTGCCCAAGTGTGTGACTCGTGCCTGCCCTAAATCTACTGCAAAGGAAACCAGGAAGACAAGGGGAAGTTCTTTCCCTCCCACTAGAATCACGCACAGGCAAGGCCGTTGTTCCAGAAAGGGTGGGATTTACCTGGCCAAAGAGGTTGCCGCTGGTGTTGGCTGCCTGCCCGAACACAGAACCCGTACTGCTGGAACCAAACACTGGAGGAGGGATGGGGGGACGGTGGTGGGAGTGGGGTGGTGGGAGAGAGAGCACACTTTAGCACACGAGAGCAAAAGGTCCCTGGATCAGAACCACCTGGAGGGTGCTATCCCTAACTCCAAAGTCAGGAAGGAGGAGAGATGACAGCTGGAGCCACCAGCCACCAGCTTGGGCCAACCGAGGAAGCCTCACTTCTGGGCTGAGCCATGTGTGCGCATTTGGGGGGGGGAGGGCATTTCCTGTGGGGCTGCTTTAGAACCGGGACATGAAGCACGATCCACCGTGGAAGGTCTCCTGCTCCCGGTTTCTCGCAATGGAGCTTGGGGCAGGAGAGCCTCTTAGCGGACTGTGCTTTGTGGACCGGAGCCACCTTCCCTTAAGGATGCCCAGAGTGTTGCCTGAAAGGACCGCCCCTGGCCTGTGTCAGGAGAAGAGCCCACTTCTAATCTCTTGTGTCGCTGTACACGGAGACTCTCCCTAACTTCTGCGATGTGGGATAAGGCGCCTGGTTTTGAAATCTGAACTTTTAGGGAACGCCTGCCTGCTTTCAGTCCTCTCCCTCCCCTTCCCCCACGTTGGAAATCAAGCCCGCCTGAACGCCAAAACGGCTCTTTGCTATTTCTCTGCCTCGAGTGGGGAAAATATACCCCCCCTCCCTGGCAACACGGAGAGAGGTACTGCGAATGGAATAAATGGTCTGGATTTCCGTCAAGCGTGCCTGAAAGCGGCTCCTCTGAGCGAGCCAGGCGGAATGAGACAAACCCCCCCCCCCCCGTGCACAGAGGCTCCAAGCTTTGTTAATCGTCTCTTCCTTTGAAAAATAATGAAATTTTTTGATTAAATAAAGAGAGTTTCCCGGTCTAATTCCCTGTCTCACTTGAAATGCCAACGACACAGCAATCAGCGTTTTGGCCCCTTCCCCCAGGCGGCCGGCGGCCTCTCTTCTCCCACCAGCACTCTTTCAGGGTATTCTTTTTCGTCGTGGTAATTAAGAAGGGGCTGACCCCTACTTGGAATCAACCTCATTTGTTTCCCACCCATGGGCACAAGTAGTCCAAAGGAAACCCCCTCTTGCCCATCCACGGGCTCTGTGCCAGGCAAGTTCCCGGCGGAGCTGCTGACCCCGGCCACCACCCCCTACATAGGGGGTGGTGCCCTGGCCTGCCACACAGCCAGAGGGAGGGGCCCTGGAGTGGGCGTGCCAGTTCTGCCTTTCTCTGAAAGGGTTCAGGGAGTTGAAAACAAAACATTCTGGACGTCCGCATGTTCACCCTCACCCGCACCGGCTGAAAACGGCCATTCGTGGTTCAGCCGGGTTGAAATGCATACCCCTTTTGCTGTCCCCAAGAACTTTAAAAAAGTCCTCGCTTGATCTTGAGCCCAGCCGTGTTCGGTCGGCTGCAGCAAGTGCGAGAACCCCGCGGAGGCTAAGTGGCGTGAGTCTGTGTGGACTGGATATTAGACATGCCTGCTGCAATATCCTTGGCTTAGCAGGCCAGGAACGTTTACGACAATAGAAGGATAATGATTTGAGAGCACCCTGACCGGGATGGCCCAGGCTAGACCCGTCTCGTAAGAGCTCAGAGGCTAAGCAGGGCTGGCCCACGTTAGCACTTGGATGGGAGACCGCCAAGGGCGTCCAGGGTCTCTACGCAGAGGCAGGCAACGGCAACACCACCTCTGAAGGTCTCTCGCCTTGGAAATGCTACGGGGAGACACCATGAATTGCCTTTGCCTTGATGGCACTTCCCACCAACCGTTTTATTTGGGTGGCTTCTCTGTAGAAGAAGAAGAGGTTGGATTTATACCCCGCCCTTCACTACCCAAAGGAGTCTCAGAGCGGCTTACAAACTCCTTCCCCTTCCCCTCCCCACAACAGACACCCTGTGGAGGTAGGTGGGATTGAGAGAGCTCTGACAGAAACTGCTCTTTTTCAAAGACAGCTCTTATCAGAGCTACGGCTTGCCCAAGGCCATCCAGCCAGGTGCAAGTGGAGGAGTGGGGAATCAAACCCGGTTCTCCTAGATAAGAGTCCACGCACTTAACCACTACACCAAACTGAAGAGAAGAAGAAGACATTGGATTTATTCCCCGCCCTTCACTACCCAAAGGAGTCTCAGAGCGGCTTACAAACTCCTTTCCCTTCCCCTCCCCACAACAGACCCCCTGTGAGGTAGGTGGGGCTGAGAGAGCTCTGACAGAAACGGCTCTTTTTTCAAGGACAGCTCTTGTCAGAACTACGGCTTCCCCAAGGTCATCCAGCCAGGTGCAGGTGGAGGAATGGGGAACCAAACCCAGTTCTCCCAGATTAGAGTCCGCGCACTTAGAAGAAGAAGAAGAGATTGGATTTATACCCCGCCCTTCACTACCCAAAGGAGTCTCAGAGCGGCTTACGATCTCCTTTCCCTTCCCCTCCCCACAACAGACACCCTGTGAGGTAGGTGGGGCTGAGAGAGCTCTGACAGAAACTGCTCTTTTTCAAAGACAGCTCTTATCAGAACTACGGCTTGCCCAAGGTCATCCAACCAGGTGCAGGTTGGAAGGGTGGGGAATCAAACCCGGTTCTCCCAGATTAGAGTCCGCACACTTCACCACTACACCAAACTGGCTCCACTACACCAAACTGTAAACAAAACGCCGTGGGGTTGCAGCTTCTAAAGACCTATTCAACCTATACGTCTTTCTAAGGTGCTGTGCATCCCTTGGCTTTATATTTACGTGTCCCATTTCGCAGTGCCCTCCCGTTCCTTACCTGACGGTTGGCAGAAGCTGAATCCAGCAGAAGAGGTTGGCGTGGTTGCAGCTGTGCTTCCAAACACAGATCCCCCCTGGCTGAAGCCGGAACTCTGTCCAAAAGCCGGGGTGCTGCTTTGGCCAAAGAGCCCACCCCCGGTGGTGGCAGAGGGCTGCCCGAAAGAGAAGGAACTGGTGGTGTTGGTGCTGGATGGCACACCAAAAACGTGCCCGCTGCCGGAAGCTGAGGCGGTGGACGAAGCGGCCTGGCCAAAAGCGGGAGTTGAGCCAAAGGCCGTCTGGCTGAAAGTGAAGCCGCTCGACGTGTTTGCCGGCTGGCCAAAGGCTGGGGCTTGTCCAAAAGCTGGCTGGCTAAAGCCGCCGGTACTTGCCGCGGCGAAAGCGGACGTGTTAAACCCGGTGCCTGCTCCCTGGGTGGTGGCAGTGGAGGTCGGCATGGGAACCGGTTGGCCAAACAGAGTAGATGCTGCAGTCGCTGCAGAGAGCTGGCCGAAGACGGGGGTGGCGGCAGGGGTAGCCCCAGCATCTGTTGCGGGCTGACTGAATGCGGAGCTAGAAGAAGAACTGGAAACGGGGGGCTGTACGAACACAGAAGGGCTCGAGGAAGCAACGGTGAATGCCAGGGAGCCAGTGGTTGGTGCCTGGAGGGACGCGGGGGGCGTGCTGGCTGCCTCTGCCGGTGGCGAGGCTACGTTTGCTGGGGCGGAGGTCACCAAAGCGTGCTGGTCCAAAGTGGAGACTGGCGAAGGCACCTCGGGGTGGGAAGTTGGGGAGGGAACTGTGTCTCTGGCAAGTGCTGCTGAAGAAGAGCCAAGGCTGACGGAGTCTTCCTCTCCTGGAGACGGTGGCTCTTGAGGGACCTCTGGGGTCTGTCCCGGCGTCTGTGCTGGTACAGGCGGGGCTGCGGGGCTTGGAGATGGCTTTTCAGGGGCTGGGGCGGTTTTGGCATCTGCCTCTCCTTTACCAGGCGGTGCAGAAGCGGCAGCCGTTGCTGCTGAACTCAACAGACTTTCAAACGAGAGGGCTGATGATGCTGGAGGGACCGCCGAGGCAGCGGACGACGCTGCTGGGGCATTTGCTGGTGGAATGCAAATGCCGAACGCAAAAGTCGGCTTGCCGCCGCCCGATGATGCTCCCATGCTGAAGACACCAGGAGCCCCCGTGCTGACCAGCTGGACACTGCCAAAGATGGTGCCCGCGCCGACTGCTGCTGCTGCTGGGCTGGCGGTTGTGACCGCGGTCGTAGCGGCCTCCGCTGGTTTGCCGACTTGTGGAGAGGTTCCAAGAGCGAACCCGGAGGGCGCCGCGGTTGCTTTCGGCTGCTGTCCGCCTGCTGTGGTGCCACAGGGAGGTTTGGCGGCGGCGGCAGCCTTGGCGTTCTCGTCGGCTTGGCCCACCCTCAGGCCGGAGAAGCTCCCGAGAGTCTCCCCAGCCGCAGTGCCTTGGAACAGGGGGTCTCCGGGCTTCAACGGAAGGCTCTCCGACTTGGTGGAGGCGGCAGAGGGGACAGAAGCGGCGGCTGGGACCGCTTGGCCGTTTGCCGGGCTGGGATCTCCGGAGCCGCTGCTCGTCACGGGGGCTCCCAAAAGGCTAGACGGTTTTGTGGACCCCAAAGTAAATGGGCTCTCTGGAACTCCAAATTTAGCATTCCCACCAAGGGGAAATGCATCAGGCTGGCTCGGCTCTTTCGCAGGGGTGGCCGCTGCTACCAAGGGACAAAAAAAGGAAATACCTAACGTTAGCCGGCAACGCTACGAGTACAGGATCAGACTGGCTGTGCGAAGGGCATAAGCTGCTCAAACACAGGAATCCCCGAATCTGGTGTCATGAGAGAACCGTTGGCAGAAACAAAATATCAGGGATCAAGGTTATACATAAGTCCAGGGCTATTTTGGGGCAGGAACGCACAGGAACGGAGTTCCGGCTGGTTCCCGAGTTGGCCGCGCCCAGCAGGAACTCATTAGCATAATAGGCCACACCCAACAGCAGAAACTCATTAGGATTGGCTACATTAGGGGTGTGTGGCCTAACATGCAAAGGAGTCCCTGCTACAAAAAAAGCCCCTGGTTTTTGACAACAAACAAGGTAAACAGAATAAGAAGCAAAAGGTGGGTGTGGCTGGATGAACACACTTCTGGCAACAGGGGGCTGCGACCTAATATGCTAATGAGCTGTGGTGTCAGGGTGTGGCCTATTATGCTAATGAATTCCTGCTAGGCTTTTTCTACAACAAAAGCCCCGCGTAAGTCTAATAGCAAACTCTTCAAGATTTCAGCCAGAGGCTCTGTCGAACAGGATGCCTTTTAATCTACACAGCCAATCCGAAGCCCTGCTGGGCAAAAGCCCCACCTGGCCCCGCCCACTTCCTGAAAGCACTTGGTGGGTGCCAGGAAAGGGGTTGGCGAGCACCATAGTTGGAACCGCTGTCTGAAGGGCTTCTGGGAGCACAAAATACCACCCGTAAGAGGCGGCCTCCCCCGTCCCCACATGATTCCCCACTTGGGCTTTGCCTCCTCCCAATCGGCCTCCACTCTATATGACTGCACTGAGCCTGACTGAGTGACCCAATCGCTCCTGGCGCAAAACTCTTGGTAGCCGTTTCGGTAGCTGTTGTGGCTCAGTGGCCAGCGCCTGCTTGGCCTGCTGCAGTCCCCAGGTTCAGTGTCCTGGGCGCTGGCATTGGGAAAGACCTTCCCTCTGTTGGAAGTGAAGGACTTTGCGCTGTCTCTTGGCCTCAGACTTCAGAGGGGGGCTATGAGAGAGTCAGAGATAAATCCTCCTGCTCTGATGCTATCCTTTTGATGTGTAGATCGCTGCTCCCAGGGAATCTTCCTTCCTTCTAGTCCGACACCTTCTCTCCACACTATGCTAGCTTTCTCCATCTTGGCACCAAGAGGGCTGGACATGCCTCCTGCATCTCCATCCATCCAAGCTAGTTAGACTAGATTAGAATCCTATCTCTACTCTATCCTGTTTAGAATAATGGCGTGCCTTACAATACTCATATTAGTTTTGCAAAGATAAAGAGGCTTCGTGTGTAAGTTTGTTCCTGGCCAGCACACACAACCCAAACGGGCTCTGCTGCGTTATGCGCCTTGAGCACTCCGCTAACCAAATAATCCTTCATCCTCTGCCTGACACCCTGGAGAAACTGCTGAGTTAGACAGACCACCCATTTGACTTGGGAGAAACCCCTGCCCAGAACAGAACAGCAGGCTGGATAAGAGAGGACCTCTGGGTCCCTCTTCAGCCACTTAATGACAGGTCTTCATACCTTGTGAAGAAGCAGAGCCGGGCGTTGCAGGGTTCGAGGGAACGGCACCAAAGTTAAAACCAGGCCTAGGGGAGAAAACGAGCGTGAAACAACCCGGCGCTTTCCCACACGACCCCAGAATCCCAGCTGAAAGATTGATCCTGATTGGCCACTTTTTTTTTTTAATTTAAAGCAGGGGCTGTATTTTGAAATGAGCACGGGCTTAAGCACCAACTTTGCCCTTTGACCCTCTTTGGTGTTTCTGCCACCGCGTAACCAAAAGACTCCTTAACCCCATGGTGAACAGCAATACTGGTTTTGACAGAGCCCTTCCCTTTTCTTTTTTTTAAAATAAATCTATTAATTCGGTTTTTACAATGTCACACCACTTAACAATCTTCAATACACTGTATCGAAACAATATATGGTTTCCATCACATCATGAATTTTATCTGTCACATAACAATTTCCCCCCCGTATCAGGTTTAAGTTAAACAGTGTTCTTACGCTTTTATCTTCTTTCTTTCCCTTATCAGACTAGCTTAACTGTCATTTATACTTATCTTCCTTATTTTCAGCCAGTTATAAATTGGTTCCCATTTTTCCCAGAATTTTTCTTCCGGTTTCCGTTTTAATTCCATGTTCAGTCTATCTAATTCCGCTATTTCCAGAATCTTATCTTTTAGTTCTTTTATTGATGGTAGTGTATTGGACTTCCATCTCTTTGCGATCAAAATTATTGCCGCTGTTAATATGTGTATAATTATACGTTTGTGTTTTTTAATTTCATCCGGGATCGAGCCCTTCCCCCCTTTTCATGTGCCCTGTGCCTGCTCCCTCTCCGGCCAAAAGGGCTCCCACAAGGCGGCATCGGACTCTTTAGAGAGACTGAAGCACATAACAATTTGGATGTACTCAGGGGATCAGGGTCTTGCTGGAAGCCAGGTGGGAAGTCCCCGAGGACCAGGCTAAATCTCCGGGCAGTCTCTTGTGCATACCTCATACACATGTGTGCATGCAATGAACTGTAAACTGCTCCCTCATGCTGTTCTCTTAATTATGAGACAGTCTGCTGATCTCCCAGCCTGAAGAGTTACTATCACACTGGAAAGAGCAAGAGTCCAGTGGCACCTTAAAGACTGAAAAGTTGTGGCAGGGTATGAGTTTTCATGAGTCACTGCTCACTTCAGGTGTGTGTGCACCTGGAAGTCATGGCGACCTCTGGGGACTGATCCCTACTGGGGGCCTGGAGGATATTCAGAGAGGTGGCTGAATAAAGCCTGCCCCTGCCCTCCCGACCGCTGGTATTCCAAGGAGGTCTCCCATCCAAGGACTTGCCAGAGTCGAGCCTGCTTAGCTTCCGAGATCTGACGAGATCAGGCTTGCCTGGGCTATACAGGCCAGGGCATGGCTACAAATCTTGATCGATCACACTGGAAACACTTTGTCCGCGCTACTAGGTGGTCACTTGGCTGACCACCTGTGGTGAGTCAAAGTCTCTTCTAGGTGACCAAGACAGGATGCAGTGCAGTCTTTTAAAAAAACTCCCCAAAAACCCTTTGACACAGATGCCTAGCACAAGGGTCTCTCTCTCTCTCTCTCTGGAGATGACAGACTGCCTTCCTCTCACAGGTTCTGGGCTCAAACGGTATACTCAGGCAACATGATGGAGTAGACCTGAATCAGCATCTCTTTAAAACGCTGTCTAAAGGGCAACCAGCAAGCATCACAATGTACCAACATAGAAAAAGAAAAAGAGATTGGATTTATACTCTGCCCTTCACTACCCAAAGGAGTCTCAGAGCAGCTTACAAATCTCCTTTCCCTTCCCCTCCCCACAACAGACACCCTGTGAGGCAGGTGGGGCTGAGAGAGCTCTCCCGAGAACTGTCTGTGAGAGAACACCTCTGAAAGAACTTAAGTCGGACCCAAGGTCACACCAGCAGCTGCATGTGGAGGAGTGGGGAATCAAACCCGGTTCTCCCAGATTAGAGTCCGCACTCCCAACCACCATACCAAACTGGCTCCCAAGGAAACATTGCGAAAATTCTAGTTTATGACCTTGGAAATCTATATCCTTTCCCCAAAAAGAACTTCGGCATCACAGCCTTCGTGCTGTAGTTTGGAGTGTTCCAAGCACTTAAAGTACATGATGCGAAGTAATTTTTGCAAGAGCCCTAAAGGGTAGGTCAGTATTGTAATCCCAGTAGAGATTAATAATTAGGGCTGCATGCGTCCCATGCTTCTGTGAGGAGCCCAAAAGCCACGGCCTGAACAGAGTCTGTGCATCCTAACTCTTGGCCGATCCCAACAAGGAGGGGCTATGGGGCATCTTCCAGTGTTTGGGGAGATATCTTGGGCTTCTGTCACCTTCTTAACCCCTTGCTTCCAGGACTTGGAGAAAATATGCAGGTGAAGTAGGTGTGCAAGTGGCAAGGACTGCAGAATTCCCTTTTCCTGGTGGACAATTGAGGATGCCAAGATCTATAGCCTAGTTCGTTCTAAAAAAAACTACAGTATTTGCAGGGCTGATTAGAATGTGCTGGATGTGACCCCCCCCCCCCCCCCTTATGACACATGCTCTTGTGTGTGTGATTGCTTACATAACTGAGGCTTCCAGATGGCACGGAGATGATTCAGTCACCTCTGCGAGTAGCTTATGGGCATCCCCCCCCCCCTTGAGCCACAATCTGCCCGTCAGGCTGCAGCATCCCTTTCCGAGCTTTGGCACTTTCAGACCGGTCTGGATGGCCACATTCACAGCTCTCTTGTGGCCACGAGTATCAAAGTGAGTGTCGCGTGAAAGGCTTTGTATTAAAGCATTATCTATCCGTGGCAAAAGAAAGTGGCCACCCTGAAGATTGCAAAACACAAAGGCAGCATCGGAGGTTCCAGTTCCTAACAAGCAAAGCCGGGGTAGTTTCCCCCATGTTTTTAACTTTTGGAACTTTGACAGGGGGAAAAAAGGGAACGACAGGATATTGAACATGGCAATGATGTGCTGTTATTGTGCCACCGGAATGTCCGTGGGGGTGCGTGGGGGGATGGGGGGGGGAGCCAGCGCATGTCTGATGTGCAAGATCTTGATCAATAGGGATCAGTCTGCCCCAGTAACAAGGACGGAGGACAAGTGGGACTCTGTGGTGTATCTAAAAAAAGGGAGCAGTGACTTAGGAAAGCTCATACTCTGCCATGGATTTTGTTAGTCTTTAAAGTGCTACTGGACTCTTGCTCTTTTCTGTCTGCAACAGTTCTTCCCCTTTTGAGAGCCAGTTTGGTGTAGTGGTGAAGTGGGCGGACTCTAATCTGGGAGAACCGGGTTTGATTCCCCCACTCCTCCACTTGCACCTGGCTGGTTGACCTTGGGCAAGCCATAGTTCTGATAAGAGCTGTCCTTGAAAAAGAGCAGTCTGTCAGAATTCTCTCAGCCCCGCCTACCTCACAGGGTGTCTGTTGTGGGGAGGGGAAGGGAAAGGAGTTTGTAAGCCGCTCTGAGACTTCTCTGGGTAGTGAAGGGCGGGGTATAAAACCAATCTCTTCTTCTTCTTCTTTGCTATTGACTCACAAGGGGGGGGGAATCACTCCTCTTCACTCACTCTGGTGTGGGCTAATCCTTCTCCCTCCCACTGGTGAACTCAGCCACTGAGAGACAAAAGCCTAGGCTCACTCACATAGCCTCTCCCATTCGCCTGCACAGCCCCATCTCATTTAAGAATGAAAAGGACCTCTGGGAAATGGAGTATCAAAACAGTCCCCTTTCTTTGACAAGCAGGGAATGCATGAAGGAAAGGCCGCCTGTTGCAGGGATCTGTGCGTGCAACATGCGCTCCGCCATGCATAGAGAAGTGCTGTGTAGATGCTCTTCTGGAGGAGGCCATGCCTGCAGCATTCGTGATCGTGAGCAGACGTTAACCACGCTGCAGTCTCAGACCTTTAGTAGCCCCACTGTCTGGAGGTGCCCTTTCCCCCCAACTCTGGGGGCCCCCCAAATTACTGCCACTGCAGGTCTTGTTTCTTGGTCACGCTTGCATGAGGCAGACCAGCCTGGGAGGGGGAGGAGGCCTGCTGACATCGACGCCTGAGCGGGCTCCCGCTCGGCATGTGCTTTGCCAGCTGCACCGGTTACCGGTTGAATACCGGATCTGCTTCAAGGTGTTGGTAATAGGACTGCATTTGGTTAGGTAAAGGTAAAGGTTTCCCTTGCTCGAAAGCCAGTCCAAATCCGACTCTAGGGTTGCGGTGCTCATCTCCGTTTCAAAGACGAAGAGCCAGCGCTGTCCGAAGACGTTTCTGTGGTCATGTGGCCGGCGTGACTAAACACCAAGGCGCACAGAACGCTGTTACCTTCCCACCGAAGTGGTACCTATTTATCTACTTGCAATTTCTTGCTTTCGAACTGCTAGGTTGGCAGGAGCTGGAACTAGAGACGGGAGCTCACTCCGTCATGTGGCACACTCAGGTCTCGAACTGCTGAACTACCGACCTTCCACAGCCTGCGGTTCAGAGTCTTAACCACTTGAGCCACTGCAGCTCCTGCATTTGATTAGACGAGTCCTAAACGGTGATTTTAAATTTCGGTTTAAAAGGGGACTAGATAGATTCATGGAAGATCAGTCTATCAATGGCGACTGAGGGGAGCCTCCACAGTCGGAGCCACTGATCCTCTGAATCCCAGAGCCAGGAGGCAACATCAGGGAAAGGCCTGTGTGAGACAGGATGCTGGGCTAGATGGACCATTGGTCTGATCCAGCAGGGCTCTTATGTTCTTATGTTTTATGTATTTGTTACATACTCTATTTTATGCATTTTATTTACATATTGCAAGCCACTCTTGAGCACCTGTTAAGTAAGAAAGATGGCTAATAAATGCTTTAAATAAATAATTTTTTAAAAAACCTAGATTTTATATGCGCAGAGTATAGTGAAATAATGTATGTTCTCTCAAAAGGTAGCTAGTTGCCCCAAGCAATACACTGGAAAGCCGTACAGCAGTACATGGGATGAGGCCTTTTCCGCAGTGGCTCCAGGGGTACAGAAGTTATTTCCAAGCCTTGTCCCTCCTTTCAATGAAGAGTGGTGATTTTACAGAGGGCCTCTGGTCTCTGACTTCTGTAGCTGCCAACAGCCTACCTGCTAATTTTCCTGAGCAGCTGTTGGATAATGGCTCTTTTTAATCTGCTGGCTAAGGCACAAGTTAACTCCTTTGTAATAGGACGGCTACTGTTCCAGGACAAGAGAACTCCTGCCAAGTAAGAGTGCACATTTTGGTCTTGCTTGAGTACAGGGCCCAAACTGCACACCGGCCCTTCTCGCACAGTGTTGTTCGTGCTGGTTCTGGGTTGGGAATCTCAGTGGATCGAGGAAGGATAAGCTGAAAGAGACACCGAAGCATCTCGGTAGGGAAGGACAGAGTTTGTCACTGAGGTCACGGTGTGCGATTACATCACACGGAAGTGGGCTGCGGACCAAAGTCAAAGGCAAATGAAGATTAACTGCAGAAAACTGTTTTTCGCACACTCAAGAGCAGGAGGGGAGGGGGGCTGCGGACCAAAGTCAAAGGCTAATGAAGATTAACTGCAGAAAACTGTTTTTCGCACACTCAAGAGTGGGGGGGGGGAGCATGCTGCCCATACAAACCCTGAGGAGTGAAATGCAAACGCCTTGCTGAACTGGGAAGCAGTTGGTGGGGCTGGAGCCCCAGCAGATGAAGTGACGGATGCAGCGGTCTTCGTTGTCCCTTGGCCTGAAAACACAGTGATAGTTATGGAATAATGAGAGTATTTGCACTTGTGCAGACACAGGCATGCATACAGAGTATGTATATTATTATCTATTGTATTTATGAATCTCCCAACCCCTGCTTCTGCAGGGCCCTGGGTGATGTACAACCACAGATACAACAAGATAAAAACAGTTAAAACATAGAACATTAAAGACAATCAGATGGCGAATAACCAATCCCTGTATACAATACAAAGGCTCTCTTGCATTCGACTCTTGGTTTTTCCCAGCACAAGTCTTCCCAGTCGCCTTCCAAATCCGCTTAGCGTAGCAGTTACATTTAACCAGATAAAGAGTTAGGACAATAAAAGTCAACAGAGGCCAGCAGTGATTAACAGAAGCAGCCACAGAAGTAGGGGGTAGTCTAGAGCAGGGGTGTCGTACTCATTTGTTATGAGGGCTGGATCTGACATAAATGAGACCTTGTCGGGCTGGGCTATGTGGGTCCTAAAAGGTAATGCCAGGTAGCGGAGATATAGACACAAAGGGTTTTCTTTTACTTAAAATAAAAGCATACTTAAAACATTAGCCACTCTTGCAATATTTGGTTTATTCAACCGCCTCTGATAACTGACACGTCTTGCTCTGAATTATTGCATCAAAATGTCTGTGCTGTTGCAATCCTGAGTGTGCTGTTCAGGTGTGTATCTGTAAGCTGCAAACCTACAATGACGCAGCAGCAGCAGCAGAACTGGAAGAAGAAGCAGAAGACAGCCAGGTCCACTGAGGAGCCTGATAGAAGCCCTCCGGGGGGGCTGATCTGGCCCCCGGGCCGCATGTTTGACACCCCCAGTCTAAAGGAACAAGCCGGTCATGTGACGGGCCAATGAGTCCTGGGGAAGAACCCTTTGGCTCAAGGAGCAGAAGAGCTTCCTCTGCAGCGTTGCCCATTCTGTAGATCTCCCCCCCCTCCACTGCAGATTCTTCAGAGGAGCGCCTAAAGAGGCCTTTCGGTTCCAGGGGCCGCTTTGCCTGCAGATGCTTAAAAGGTGCTGACGGCTTCCGCTTGGCCCAATTTGGTGGTGGGCCCGTTTGCCTGGGCTGACGTGGGAGCCCAAACGGGAAATCCAATTACCGTAGAAAAATAACTAATCAACGCTAAACAAATCTTCTTCTTAATATACCAATTTACTTAGTACATAAATATCAAATAGTAGAAATAGTAGAAATAACACCTCTGTGTCCATTTAACAAAATCATTTAGTCTACCAATTAACAAATCCCTTTAAATTGCTATGTTCTTACGAACGTATAGGAAAGCTAATAAATACTAATGAACAGCGCAATAAAGCTAAGTGTCCTTTTTCAAGTATTATAATGCTGTACACTTTGACAGTGCATGAATACTTTTATTTCCAAGAGAGCCAGTTTGGTGTAGTGGTTAAGTGTGTAATCTGGGAGAACCGGGTTTGATTCCCCCACTCCTCCACTTGCACCTGCTGATGTAACCTTGGGTCAGTCACAAGCTCTGGCACAGCTGTCCTTGAAAAAGAGCAGTTTGTGTCAGAGCTCTCTCAGCCCCACCCACCTCACAGGGTGTCTGTTGTGGGGAGGGGAAGGGAAAGGAGTTTGTAAGCTGCTCTAAGACTTCAAGTGAAGGGCGGGGTATAAATCCAATCTCTTCTCTCTGTATGTTGTTTAATGGGTCTCTGACCGTAATAAACGAATGACAATCTTTTCTCTCTTCTTCTTCTTCTTCTATATGCTTTGTGAGAAATGAGTCCCAAACACAAAGTCTGTCTCAGTTGATGCTGAGAGGCTTTTTCTCCAAGAAAAGGCAGTCTCCAATCGTATCAGGGGCTAGCTGGAGAACCTGTTCCGTAGAACTTCCTCAAAGACGGGTCTGCTTGTTAGAAGTCAACTCAAAAAAGCCTTCAATCTCTTATCCCTTTAATCGCTGACATTTGCCTTATCTTCCCAGAATCAAAAACATCTTCACTATGCAACATAGCTAAGAAGGTAAGACTGTAAGGCTTTTTGCCAGGCGTGAGGGAGTGAAGATATTTTTGATTCTACGAAACAGAAGTATTCATGCACTGTCAAAGTGTACAGCATTATAATACTTGAAAAAGGACACCTCTTAGCTTTATTGCGCTATTAGTACTTATTGGGAGCTGTGGTGGCTCAAGTGGTTAAGACGCTGAACTGCAGGCTGTGGAAGGTCGGTAGTTCAGCAGTTCGAGACCCGAGTTGCCGCATGACGGAGTGAGCTCCCGTCTCTAGTTCCAGCTCCTGCCAACCTAGCAGTTTGAAAGCAAGAAATTGCAAGTAGATAAATAGGTACCACTGCGGTGGGAAGGTAACAGCGTTCCGTGCGCCTTGGTGTTTAGTCATGCCGGCCACATGACCACGGAAACGTCTTCGGACAGCGCTGGCTCTTCGGCTTTGAAACGGGGATGAGCACCGCAACCCTAGAGTCGGATTCGACTGGCTTTCGAGCAAGGGAACCTTTACCTAGTACTTATTAGCTTTTCTATATGTTTGTGAGAATATAGCGATTTAAAGGGATTTGTTAATCAGTAGACTAGCACTGTGTAAATTATTTTGTTAAATGGACAGAGAGGTGTTATTTTTACTACTGGATGTTTATGTGTTTAGTAAATTGGTATATTAAAAAGAAGATTTGTTTAGAGTTAATTAGTTATTTTTCTACGATTATTGTTTTCCCCGTTTGGACTCACATCCGTGCTTCTCCTTTCCTGTATTGACTTGGGAGCCCAGGCAGGGGAGGAAAGTACATTTAATCAAATGAACACATTTTATCAAGGGCTTATTTTTTAAAAGTTATTCCCAAGCGTAACCTAAAGGATGACTTTGGGAGCCACTGTGTTCGTCTTGGTTGTCTGTTGAACTATGACTGGAGGGGGGGGGGAGGACACGGGGAAAAATCTTCACTCTGCAGTGAAGCTAGAAGCTGATGGGGGGGGGGGGTCGTCACCATGGGCCAGTTCTTCTCTTGTATTTATTTTTAAATGGTGACCTTGCCTTTCTCCTGGTAGGGATTAGGTTCTGTCTGCCTAATCTAGGGGCTCCTGCATTAAAAACTGATGTCAACCCACTAGGAAACTTCTAAGGTATGCCACCGTATATGCCAAACTGGACAGCATTTGACAGACTAATTCAAGCTCAAGAACACTGGTCCTAGCGTCAACTAACCGAACAACTACCTCTCCTTCCCTGGGCCGGCCCAACTTCGGCGATGATGACTAGTGGAGCCGTGGCGTTGTTTGAAAGCGTCACCACCCCCGCTGATTCGGACCAGCCTGGGCTGCCGCCGTTTTGACGGGGTTCCCCTTCGAGCACCGGTCCAGCGGTTGCTGCCGCTGCCGAGGCTCACGGGACTGTTCCAGATGAGTGGACGCGTGCCAGGGAGCCCAGGGAAGGTCTCTGCCTCTCCTGGAGTCCCCGCCCGGCTAAGCCAGCAATTTTGATGTCTCTTGTACATCATTGGTGAGTAAAAATAAAGACTTCAGCTGTAACGGTGGAAAAGAGCAAGAGTCCAGCAGGACCGTAAAGACTAACAAAGTTTGTGGCAGGGTAGTAGATTTCGCGAGCTCCTCACCGGCCACAGATTTTGTTAGCCTTGAAGGTGCTACTGGACTCTTGCTCTTTTCTCCTGCTACGGACAGACTAGCACAGCCACCTGCCTCGATCTTTCAGGTGAAACTGTTACAGTGCTAAGGAGAATTACTCCAGTCTAAGTCCATTCATTCAGTAACTCTCCTAAGGATTGTACGGTTAGTTACCCAAAGCGGGGCAATATTGCAGTGTGTGACTGCAATAAAGAAGGCCAATGCTATGCTGGGGATTATTAGGAAGGGTATTGTAAACAGATCAGCCAATATCATAATGCCGCTATATAAATCAATGGTGCGACCTCATCTGGAATACTGTGTGCAATTCTGGTCACCACACCTTAGAAAGGATATTATAGCTTTGGGAAAAGTGCAGAAAAGGGCAACTCGAATGATAAAAGGGTTGGAACACACTTTCCCTATGAGGAAAGGTTAAGGCGCTTAGGGCTCTTTAGCTTGGAGAAACGACGACTGAGGGGTGACATGATTGAGGTTTATAAGATTATGCATGGGAAAGAGCAGGTAGAGAAAGAGGTACTTTTCTCCCTTTCTCACAACACAAGAACCCGTGGGCACTCCATGAAATTGCTGAGCGGTCGGGTTAGAACGGATAAAAGGAAGTACTTCTTCACCCAAAGAGTGATTAACACTTGGAATTCACTGCCACAGGAAGTGGTGGCAGCTACAAGCATGGACGGCTCCAAAAGGGAATTAGATAAGCATATGGAGCAAAGGTCCATCAGTGGCTATTAGCCACAAGGTATAGATAGGGACTCTGGGGCAAGTGATGCTCTGTCATCTTGGTGCTTGGGGGGGGGGTCAACAGTGGGAGGGGGCTTCTAGTGTCCTGGCCCCACTGGTGGACCTCCTGATGGCACTGGTGTTTCTGGCCACTGTGGGATACAGAGTGTTGGACTGGATGGGCCTTTGGCCTGATCCAACATTGGCATCTCTTATGTTCTTATGTTCTTAATAAATCTGGATTTGTCCTGGAAGAGAGAGAAGCTGCCTTTCATAAGCTCCCAGAAGACAATATTTTTTTTTACTGCATACAAAAGCTACTTGAGAGATCCCTGACAAACATCTCTCTCGAAATCATCACCATAACAACAGGTATTCACAAAAGACAGAAAATGATTGACAGGCTCAAATCTGACCATTCCGGCTCACTCAAGAAAGCAGTGGCTCATTTTATTTTAATTCATCTACTCCAATGGGGAAAGGGCTGTTGTCCAGGCCTGGAGCTTTCTGAGAGCCACGTGACTGGCTTTGTCGCTTGTGTGCTACACATTACAACAGAGCTTGCTTTTGAAAGATCTGGGCGACAACGGCAGCAAGGAAGAAACTGGAATACACTGAATCCGAGGCATTCCAAAGTAGGAGGCTTGGGGAAAGGCACTGTTCACACGGCCCCTTAAGTACAAGGCCACTTCCCAAGAATCTCAGCTATTGGGTTTTTAAAACAAGTTTCTAGTCCCTGTGATCGTGTAAGACATCTAAAATTGCATCGACACAGCCTGGGAGGGATTCCAGCACTTATATTAAAATGCATAATCTGCCTTTCAAACGTGTGCCACAAGCAGCTCTGTAAATGGTGGTTCTTTACTCAGTCAGTCCTACAGCAGGTTCCTGGACTTTCTGTCCTTAGAGGTTCACTACCTTCTCTGCCTTTCTGGAAGCCCCAATCCTGTTCTCCCCTGTTCATATGACCTTACACCTTACATGGTATAAAAATAAACAGATTAGCCTGAACATGGAAAGTGGCTGTAAGCCTGGAAGGGCAGTAGAACTGATCTAGTTCTGCACTGCTCTTTGAAGCCTTCAAGCCTAACCTCTTATGTTTCATTGTGGATGAGGAGCAAATGTACGCAGAATCATTAATGCATTCAACATGGGTGTTCATCACCCACTCTGTTCCTGCTCCTGCACACCCAAATTTAGGTTGTAAGTTCCTTGGGGCAGAGGCCCATCTTATGCCGATGCTTCCCTGCATGCAGAAATACGGGAGGAGACAAAACCTCTTAATTTTGTTTGCACTCTGATGGGTGAGCCGGGAAGTTATCAGAATCCAGTCACAACCTGAACCGTGCAGTGCGCACTCTGGGCAATACCCAGAAGGCACTGCACACAGCGCTGCACTTGTGTGCAGGAAAGCTGGGGTTCGAATCCTGGCACTCGGTGACCAAACTCACTTTGAGCGCCAGTGCTTTCGAGCCTGGTCAGAGTAGTCCTCGAAGACATGAGGCTGCCTGACACAGCATCAGAGCCTTGGCCCATCACGGTCAGTCCTGTTTTGTCTACTCAGACTGGCTGTGGCTCTCTCGGGTCTCAGGCCTTTGCGTCACCCAGACCCTTTTTAACTGGAGATGCTGGAAACTGAACCTGGGACCTTCTGCATACCAAGAAGACACTCTGTCACCGAGCCGCGGCCTCTCCCTTGCAAAGCACCTTGCATGCTGGGAAAGTGGCATGCAAATAACAACGAAAATAATATTTTTCCCCTCAAAACCGTGGATTCCTGCCACTTTTCCCTTCTTGCTTTGTTCTGAATGATGCCCCATAAACTGTGAACAGTTTATCACATTTTTAAAAACCATGCTTCCACATGAAGGGAACCGACCTGAGTTCTTTTTGCCTGAAGTGGTCTGGCTGGTGGATGTGCTGACGACACCCGGTAAGGACGCGGAGGTGGGTGGAGGCTGCATCGCGAGGGAACCCGCCAGAGGAACCTAAAAGCATGGAGGAAGCAAAGCCGTTTGGTCGCGGAGGAAGCGGGAGAAAGGGCTTTGGGAGCTCAGCTGTGATGGATAAAACAGCTGGGGCGAGAAAACTAAGTTTTTTAAATTAAAATTTTTTAAGTTGCTGCTGTAATCTCCTTTTTAAAATGTCCTGGCCTCTGAACTGAATGCAAATGTATCTCTTAAAGCTGCATATATGACCCTCTTGCAAAAAGCAAATTTTCTTTGGAAAGGAAGAACCACAGAGCTCTGCGCTGGATCCTGGCTCTTCCTGTTCGTGAAGCTGGGGGCTGCAGCTGGGGAGCTCTTGCTCGTTGTGGCCCTCTCTTCCACGCTTGTTCTTCACGGCTCTCTGGTTGCTTAACACACTTTTGGGATGAGCTGTGAGAAGGTGCTCCCAACAAACTGCCAACCAGCTCAAAGGCTGGATGGAAAGTTCTGCATGCAGAACCCATCCCCACCAAGTTACCTGCCTCTGCTCTAACCACTGAACCACATGGTGCCCTTAAGCAGCAACTGATCCACATCACAAGGAAGGGAAGGGCCACCGTTCCAGCCGGAGACACCTGCTGGGCCCAGGCCGAAACCCCAAACTAACGCTAACCTAAAAGGCAAGACATAGAGAAACAAAACTGCAGGAGAGGCCTGATCGGCCCATTTCTGCAGACCCAGGGTCTCGTGTTTCTGTGAGATGGATTAAGACCCTTCAGCACTGTTCCACAATGATGGAAAGGGTGAAAGTAGAAAAAAGGACGCTGGATGCATTAGTGACCTTCTCTGCTTTTGCTTTGTTTTAAGCTTAATCTTTCAGAACAGGATAGTCCCAGTTATCAAGGACAGGCAGGCCAGCCCAGATGCCAGGAGGAGGCCGGGGCCACCAGCGCCCGACCAGCTGCATTCCAAACTAAGAGATAACAGCGAATGCGAGAGAGACACAACAGAGATAAATGACGGGTATGACGGTCAGGACCAACGGCAGATGAATGGCGGGGATCCTGGGAGCTTCCATTGGTTTTGCAGGAAAAAGTTTTCTGCCTGGGCCTGGCAGGTCTCTCTCACCTCCACTCCTCCAGGTAGGGTCTCCAACCGCTTTTGGCATATGGGCCCCTTTTGGAATTCTGGCACGGAGTAGTGAGAGCTCAATCACAAAAATGGCTGCTGCAAGAGGCGGGGCCAACCACAAAATGGCTGCCACGGGAGGCGGAGCCAACCACAAAATGACTGCCAGGGGAGACAGAGACATAGAGGAAGCCCAAGTGCCCGGGAGAAGCGGGGTAACTAAAAACTGGGACAGAGAGGTGAGAGAGAATAAAACAAATACTGTGGTGGCAGCTGCCACTGAAACAATTTTATTTTAGTCTGCACAACCAATCTTCTTTGGCCTATCAGAACCCTGGTGGGCAACAACCCTACATGGCCCCACCCACTTTCTAAAAACGCTTGGTGAGTTCCAAAAAAGGTGCTGGCAGGTGCCGTAGCGTCCACGGGCACCATGTTGGGGACTCTTGCCTTAAGAGATGATGTAGCTACTGGCTGAGGCAACTCCAAAGGAATCCTGGCAAATCCAACTTCTACCCTAAGTGTAAAGGCAAAGTGGGAACATTTTAACCCACACCGGGGATTCTAAACTGGGGTGTGAGTGTGTGGAGACAATTACACCACACAGAAAGATCTTGCAAACGTGGCGTTCCACAGCTCCTGTTCTTTCTCTTTGGCTTTCATTTTCCAAACCATCTTTTCAATGCTTACCGTGCCAGCATTTTAACATTCAAATTATTTTACAACACTTTACCATTCCATTAACAACCCTAGAAGGTCTAGCTTGCAGTGGGGAACAAAAGAGTCTCAGACTGACAGATCTGAGCACTATGGGGCCATGGACAACGGGCAACCAATTACACGCCATGCAAGCTAGTTGGCTGGGCTGGAATGCAAGCAGTCCACATGGGGACAAAACCCATCAGAGCCCTGCCTCCCGGGAATTGCACACGGCCAGTCCTTTGGGACTGCCAGCTGGGATGCTCCAAGCTCCGCCTCATTCTCTCAGTCTCCCCACTGAGGGAAGCCATGACAGTGCCCACTTTTGTGCTCCCAGAGTGTTGTCCTGCAGGGACATTCCCAGGGCCGGCCCCAGCTTATTTTGCACCCTAGGCGAGGATCCCTTCTGGTGCCTCCCCCCATGCGCCCACCAATTTCCCCTTCTCTCCCCCCCCCCGTGCTGCTGCTCCTTCTCCTGAGAAGTTAGCTGGCCAAAGAGGCGGCGGTGGCCACCCGGTCAGAGCCAGCGGGGGGCGGGGCGGGTGCAGTTGGGCACCCCTTGTCAAGGCGCCCGGAGAAGAGGCTGACCGGGGGGGCGCTCAGAAGCCATTGTTCCCCTGGCCCTGCTGCTGCTGCTCCTGCTGCAGTTGCCAGTCCCCAGCCGCAAGGAGGAGGAGGAGAAGTGCTCGCACTCCACTGGGAAGCCGAGGGAACAGGCAGAGAAGTTAGCTGGCCAAAGAGGCAGTGGGCGGCAGCAGCGGGGGTCACCCAGCCACGGAAATGCAATGGCAGGGGGGCTTTTGGCGGGGGCAGTTTGGCGCCCCTAAGGGCCGGCGCGCTCTAGGCGAACGCCTAGTTTGCCTAGCGAGCGAGCCGGCCATGGACATTCCATTGGACATTTGGGTTGAGGGCAGCGACGGTCTGGCACTCTCCTATCCCCCCCCCCCCACTCCTCCACATCCCCTCCACCCTAAAGAGCCAGTGTGTTCTGAGATCTCTCCCGCCATCGTGGATAATAGGCGACATGTTGCTGACACTTTTAAGTATTTTAAAGTTGTTCTTGATTTTATGTTTTATTGCGCTTGTCTTCCGATGCAAGCTGCCCTGAGCCCTGCTTGCAGGGAAGGGCAGCCTGATAAATAGAGCTTAATAAATAAATAAAAATTAAACCCAAACGAAGCTCCAAGCTTAGTACAGGCAAGTGGAATCAATCTTGTCCCTCCTTGAATTAGCGATTTCCCCACCCTCGTCGGGACACAACCAGGCAGGGAAATACAGACGGAGGCAATGCCGTGGCGTCCCCCAGCAATGAGACTGAGAGAATGAGGCAGATCTTACGGCACCGTAGCTGGTAGTCAACGGACAAAATTCCCACAGTTTGCTTACAGAACCGGGACATTAGCCACCCAATCTTAAGCGCCTGCATCCTATGGGCTGCAATGGACAGGATGCAAGTACTTGCTTGGCTCAGCTGTGGGGATGAAGGAGACCTGGAGCAATGTTCCCTCTAAGCTGTGGAGTCTTGTGAGCAAAAATTCTACTTTGTGAGCTACTGGCATTAAAGTTGTGAGCGAGCGATTTGCCTGCTGCATAAATTAGCTTGCTCTACAGCCATGCTTCCTGAGCTAAGACAAAAATGTGTGAGCCAGCCAGGGGCTAAAAAACTGTGAGCTGGCTCACACTAACTCAGCTTAGAGGGAACAGTGACCTGGAGTGCTTAAAGACTGGATTGTGCCTTAAGAGTTTGCTTTTCTGAAGAATGGGGGCTACGTGTGCACGTTACAGCATAGGAGCGTTTAAAAGCTCTTCGCATGCTGGAAGCTGCGGCTAGAAAAAAGCAAACAAACAAATAAAAGGCTGGAGAGCGATTCAAAGCTCCGCTGAATGGGGCTCTGGAGACTGCGCGGAGGATAAGGAGCTGCGAGGCAGATAAACACCCAGCCAGAGAGGAAGCTCAAACACCCCCCCCCCCACACACACACTGCCTGGCTTGTAGAGAGGAAAAGAGTTCAGGACGCAAGAGATACCTGGCTGGCTTGATTTGCAGCGGTTGCGGTCAGAACCTGGTGTGCGGCTTGAGCTGCAGATTGAGGAACTGACGATCTGGGGGGAGGGGAAAAGAAGGTTTTTAGAGCCCACTAACAACCATCTCTTTATTACTTCATTTATACTTGGCCTTTTTCACGAAGTCTCCTGCTTCCGTGATCAAACACAGTGCTGCGTTGCCAGCCACACACCGCGGTTGGGAGAGAAGTGTAACCGGACAGGCTCCTGGGATCCACACAGAATGCTGCCTGCTGCGTCTCTGCATGAGTTGCTGCTCTGGAAACAGCCCCCTTTCAAATCTGCTTTCATTGAGGGTGATTGCATCATCTTTGTCGTTAAGACCAGGGTAAGGTAACGGTAAAGGTCCCCTTGCTCGAAAGCCAGTCGAATCCGACTCTAGGGTTGCGGTGCTCATCTCCGTTTCAAAGCCGAAGAGCCAGTGCTGTCCGAAGACGTTTCCGTGGTCATGTGGCCGGCATGACTAAACACCAAGACGCACGGAACGCTGTTACCTTCCCACCGAAGGGGTACCTATTTATCTACTTGCAATTTCTTGCTTTCGAACTGCTAGGTTGGCAGGAGCTGGAACTAGAGACGGGAGCTCACTCCGTCCTGCGGCACACTCGGGTCTCGAACTGCTGAACTACCGACCTTCCACAGCCTGCAGTTCAGCGTCTTAACCACTTGAGCCACTTGACCAGGGTAGAAAACAGCATTTATAAAACATTTCAGAGAGTGTTCAAAGCACTGCATTCACTTTATTACTCATTAACAAATAATCTAAAGAAAATAACCTACCCCCCCCCCCCCACCCAATCATATTTGGAACCCAAAATTCAGCCAAAGATTGGCTCTCAAAGCAGCTTACAAGCAGAGGTGTCGAACTCATTTGTTACGAGGGCCGGATCGGACATAGATGTGACTTTGTTGGGCTGGGCCATGGGTGCCATAAAACATAACGCCAGGTACCGGAGAATATAAACTTCATAAAAGACAGCAACCGGTAAGCTCTGAGTTGGTGTCCTCACTGCCAGGCCTCATGGGGGCAAACCCCTTCCCCAGCCCACTCCCGCTGCCAATGCTGTGAGCTGGAGCCCCAGGGAAGAAGAAGAAGAGAAGAAGAGGAGATTGGATTTATACCCCGCCCTTCACTTGGAGTCTCAGAGCGGCTTACAAACCCCTTTCCCTTCCCCTCCCCACAACGGACACCCTGTGAGGTAGGTGGGGCTGAGAGAGCTCTGACACAAACTGCTCTTTTTCAAGGACAGCTGTGCCAGAGCTTGTGACTGACCCAAGGTCACATCAGCAGGTGCAAGTGGAGGAGTGGGGGAATCAAACCCGGTTCTCCCAGATTAGAGTCTGCACACTTAAACACTACACCAAAGTGGCTGGGTGTTGGGAGCTCCCCCCTGCCACCACGGAAGGGGACTGGGAAGTCAATCTGAACTAGCCCCCTGCCTGTGGCAGCCCAGGTCTGAGGCCAGGTGCATGGTGGGACCCAGGCCAAGTAAAGCCCAATAAGATGAAGAAGGAGAAGAAGAGATTGGATTTATACCCCCACCCTTCACAAACTCCTTTCCCTCCCCCTCCCCACAACAGACACCCTTGTGAGGTAGGTGGGGCTGAAAGAGCTATGACAGAAACGGCTCTTTCTCAAGAACAGCTCTTATCAGAACTACGGCTTGCCCAAGGTCATCCAGCCAGGTGCAAGTGGAGGAGTGGGGAATCAAAGCCGGTTCTCCCAGATTAGAGTCCGCATGCTTAACCACGACACCAAACTGGCTGCTGCATGAAGATGCTCACGCAGCAGCAGTCACCTAGGGCTGAGGGACACCGGGTGGTCCATGAGGGAGGAAGGCCTGGCCACCAACTCACGTGCTCGGTGACAGGACTAGGCCCCTGATATGTGGAACAAAACTGGTAAAGAACTGCCCCCCCCCCCATGGGCCAAAGCACAGCTACCGCATGGTGTGTGTGTGTGTGTGTGCAAATATGGCAGCGATGCTGGCCGCCAGCAGGTCCCAGCAGAGGATCGTCTGCACGCCCCATGTGCAAACACTGATTCATGCGACCATCTGGGATAGCATCCCTGGAACTGCAGTTCGAACAGAGAGGCGTGCGACCTCGCCTCGGAACCCTGATCCAGCACGAATGCAGCTGGGGTGGCTCCCAACTTGCCAGTGAGGCTGCCCCTGAAGCGAAGGAGTTCTGCTTGACTGCTGCAGATGAGGTTGTTCCGCTGCGCCGAAGCCACAATGGGAGTGGCTCTGCTCACTCCCCCCCACCCCCCAAGCAGCTTCCTGCTTCCTCCCTTGTACGAGTTGCTCATGGGCCGGATAAGAGTCCCAGAAAGGTAGGTTCCAGTCCCCGGGCCTTATATTTGACACCCCTGGCTTACGGCAATCAAAACCAACACCGCGTTGGAACCAATCCACTTTCCCGCTGGTGAAAAAGGCTATGCTAAGGATTAAGGGACCCACACAGACAAAAGCCGTGTGAAACAAGGACTAATAGAAGGTGAGCCAAAGAAAAAGCTGGCCAGTTCTAAACCGTTAACATGCCACTGCCCTTGCAACGACCGTATAATGGAGATCAGCAATCCTCCCAACATTGCAGAGGATGCCAGCAGCCAGCCAGTTTGTGAGCTCATGGCAGAGGCAAGGTACCAACTATGCACCCAACCTCAACGGCTGTGCACCGGCTATTTCAAAATCCACAGGGCTAATTATGCCAGTTTGAAGAGACTGGTGTTGCGAGACGGGGAAAGAAAGAGGCCTGAACACTGCAGACTCTCTCCAGGGGGGTGAGGCTGGACCAAGAGAGAGCCGGTCAAGCTTTAAGAAACAAGACAAATCCAAGTCCTTATGCAAATTAAAAAACAACAACAACACCCTGACCGATCTCGACAAGAGGCCTGAGTGCAAATCTCAGGTGGAGCAGGCAGGCTCAAGAAAGAGCCCATGTCAAACATTTCTAGGCTGGACTTGGGAAGAGTGGCAGTCAGACCGGAGTGACCACATGCTGCATGCGCTGAAATGATTACAGAAGGCCAGCCCAAAACCACCACTGAACCGGGGAAGATTTGGCAGTCAAACGATCACTAAGCCCAACCCTGGACCTCCAGCTGTCCCTCTGTGCAGCGCCTGACACATCCTGTGCTCCGCTGACAGCCGCAAATATAGGCTCAAATCTCATCCCTGCCATGGACACAGAGGGTAGCCTTAGACAAGCTTCTCTCTCTCTCCCCCTTCACTGCAAAACCCCCTTCTTCAGCATGGGGATGACCGCAACAGTGGTCTTCCTTCCAGACCAGCTGAATGGGTTCCAGATAAGCACTTTCAACACATGGAAAGGCTAAAGTAACATTACCTACCACTACGCGTGTGCCAGTTACGAGAACCCCACTAGAATAAGGACCAGCTTCTCCCATATGGGGCCACCCACTCGCTCTGCTCATCCCCAGAAGCCTTGCTTTGGCTGCCCCCACCATCTGAGGGCAGGTAGGCGGGAACCTGAGAAAGGGCCTTCTCGGCCGTGGCACCAGAGGTTTGGGATTCCCTCCCCGGGGGAGATTTGCCTGTCTTCCTCCATCTTTCACCAGCAGGTGAACCAGGGGTCATTTCCTGCCGGAGCACACAGGAACGGAGCTCTGGCAGTAAGGAGCCCAGGGAGCGGGCACATGCAACAAGCCCCGTTCCCTGCTCCCAGCAGCCCTCAGTCGGGCCACGAGGAGCAAGAAGCAGCCAGGTAAGTTGCAGAGACACCCCCCCCCCGGCCTGCCTTCAGGTACAAGCTCTCCCTCCTCTGTGAGGACAGATCTGCACGCCCCCCCCCATAGCTAGCAATCCAAAACAGTCTAGTGGACCCTGAGCAGTGGGTGTTGCCTTCTGACACACTTCCGGTGATGTCAGGGGGTGTGGCATATGCAAATAAGTTATGCTAATGAGTTATGCTAATGAGCTCCTGCACCTCTTTTTCTACGAAATGACCCCTGAGGTGAACATTTTATTATTTTTTTCCTTTGTCTGGTATGCCTGCAATAAGAGTTACTGGCCCTCCTGCTGGTGCTGTTTATGTGTTTTTAATAGAATTATTTTGTCATATTTAACTTCATTAGAACTGTTCAAATGTTTTAATGTTTCCTGCCTTGTGGACCCAGATGGGGTGGAAAGGCAGCATCAAGATGTTAGAAATCAATCAATCAAGTATATGAGAGCGGTGGCGTATAAGGAGAACGTGTATAAGATGTTCCACAGATGGCACTGGTCTCCGGATAAATTAGCTAAATTTTACAACGGGTACTCAAATTCATGTTGGAAATGTAAAGCGAATTTGGGGACATTTTACCATATGTGGTGGATGTGTAGTAAGATACAAGGATATTGGAAGATGGCACGGAAGGTAATTCAAGAAATTTTGGAGAAAAATGTAGCCTTAAAACCGGAAATATATTTGTTAAATATGATCCCGAAAGGTTATAATAAGCAAGAAGCATACATACTAGGATATATAATAACAGCTGCTAGATTGTTATTGGCCAGAAACTTGAAATCCGAGATCATACCCAAGAGGGAAGAGTTAACACTCAAGATACTGGAGTTAGCAAGACTGGATGATTTAAGTTTAATGTTGCAGAATAAGAATGAAAAGGTACATGAAAGGAGATGGGAAAAGGTGTATAACTGGATAGGAGAGATGTCAAGCGAACAGTGAAGTTAAAATGTATATAAGAAATAAGTGATGAAAGACTCTGATATATATGCAAAATGCAGAGGTCATTTCGGGGGGGATCGCGGGGGATCGCAGTTCCCCCGGGTGAGGTACGGGGGGGCGGGGCACAGGACGAAGCCGCGCCCCCTGCTTCTGGCCGCCCCGCTTCCGGCCTTCATTCAGCCAGGAGGAGGCAGGAGAAGAGGGAGGGTAAGTTGCTTCCTCCCTGCCTCTCCCTAACCCTGCCTGCCTGGGGCCAGGGAGGGCCTTCGTGGGGCTTCCTTGCACTCCCGCCGGCCTTGCAGGTCCACCGCAGTGGAGCTGCAAAGGCCGCCACCGGCGGCCGA